ATAAAACCAGAGATGTTCTTATCAAAGAATTAAGCCACCAGACGTGCTAAGAATACGGCAGGTATTGGTTCCAAAATGTATAAGACAAAACGATAAAATGCTGGATTAGAAGGTTGCGGACATTCTCATCTCAAATAATCTTTATTCGCGCGGGAAAAGGGAATGTGTGAGATGTGACATGACTTACATCTTTTCGTTAATTGTCTCGGTTTTGTTATATATGGCGCCCAATGTGTAATTCTATTATGTATGTTATTCGCCGAGATCTGGAAACTATGTTACAGACCCGTGACTTCCTTTTCAACAAAATCAGATGGTAATTGACCTATACATTTACATAATAACAAGGCCCCGTACATGTATTTCCGGTTTGTCTGACACATTAGAAAGTAGGCCTACCATCGATAGCAAAAGGTATTCACAGTAGAAATCTGTAAATACAAAGTGACAAATTAGTATAATAATTGTATTTGGACCTTATTTGAGAAGCGTTACCATCAACAAGTAGTACCGGGTGTTTCGACGCCCGACACTATAATGATCTGTCTGAGTTGGTGGGTATAGTGCACTGGATCTGTGCAATAAGAACAACATCTTGAACTTGATCCCTGCATTGGTAGAGAAAGTTCATCTAGATTTTCCGACGTGGTTTCCTCTTGTCAGTGGTGCAGGACGAAAGGCCTGACAAGGACAGTTGTCTAGTCGTTCGGATGGGACGAAAAACCGAGGTCCCGTGTACACTGGCATGCACGTAAAAGATCCCTTGGCAGCTGGAATTCGATATAAGAGTAGGCCATAGTGTCGCTGCCCGGGCAAATTTTCCCTCATAGCACACTTTATGGCTTATTCCCGTCTTCATTAGCCCGGTCGGAGCAGAACAGTAGGACGTTAAACCCAATTTCATTTCATTTCTGCTGGGAACATAAACTATCATTACATTGTTTTGCACGGTGTCAAAATGTAATTACCAATCGACCATTTTTTCCGTGTCCGCTTATTTTATGGCCTGTCAGCAACACATATTTATTTACGACTCTTCATCTGTGTCTATTTGAAATGAATACTTGAAAACTTCACTTACAAGATCGAAGTTTGTCAGGAACAACGTACATTATTAGGAGTGAATCAACACTTGAAACGGTATGAGTATATGTTAAATCGATGTTAGAGTTTATACGACTATGTTAAATCAATGTTCAAGTTAACTGAATGTGATAATACAAGTGTTGATATAATGTTAACATGTTAAAATCTATTATAACATTTTTATGGTATATTGATAACAGTTTCCTGTTTCGAACGAATGTAGCTCAGTATTTCTAATGTAGGTTACGATCAATGGATTCACGTCATTCACCTGTAGAATACTCGAACAACATTTTAAAAGCTTTTACTTTCTTGATCTGGAATAATCTGGGTTTTAATCTAATGGTCATTCTATTTAACCCAAAATCGTCTGAAGATATGGTGAATAATAGTTCTTTCTGTGCCTGCGACAACAACATAATATTACTCATCATGGCTTTGATAAGTGGGGGTGGGGGTGCAATGGTTAACCTCGTGGGTTTTCTCCGGGTCATCCGGTTTCCAACCACTGCTAAAAGACCCCTTCGTGCAAGCGAATTATTGAAATAAAATTGAACCATATGTTAGTCCCGAAATGACCTAGATTATTTCTCTCAAATAATCGATAATCAAAGTCAAAATATTTCGCGGAATTTTATGATTGGCGCGTTGATTTGTCTCAGAATGTTTATTACTGAACGTGCACGATAAACTGGGGCAATCTCTAAACTGCAAAACGGAAAGGTAGCAGAAGTGTAACCTATATCGCATTCACAAGTTTTTCGGCAAAGGGGGATAACATTGTAACAGAAATTCGTAGAACGCTGAATATGGATAGAGTTCGTCCCCTCATTACCCCAATGCTTCACACCAAATTTGAAAAGAAGCCGTCGAAAACTAGAGCATTTATTGCGTTCACAAGGCTTTCGGCATTTCTCGACATGGCCAGGTAACTTCTTTGTCTAAAAATCCAAGGCCTAATTATAAACTCAATTAGCTATCAATACTGTGGGTGTGGTGGGTAGGTGTCGTGCAGTGCCGGATTAAGGCTCTGCTGGCCCGAAGACACGTGCCTTATTTGCCTAATAGTTAATCCGGCACTGGTGTCGTGGACGAGGCCGTGTATATTTATATTTCTTATGCCGAATTTTCATTTTACTACAAAATTGTCATTTGTTGAGAAGTGGAATTCATTTTAAATTATTTTAATTCACGTCCGCTTATGTGGTGTTTCCAAGAAACAATAAACCCGGCCATCCGATCCACTCTTTTCGTATAGGTATCAAACATATAATAATTACGAAATGGGCAAGGATAATAAATGAATCCAAACAATTATTAGTTAAAATTTCCTTTGTCTCAATAATCTTCAAACCGATTGGATTATAACACCCAAACACTTATACAAAATGATCAACATCAGTTAATTTTACCGGAATCCGACATTTCATTTCAGAAATCATAATATTTGTTGTTGCACGGGGTTGTATCATTGTAGACCTAGTTCTCGAAATGTTGGCATATGTAAATATGGTTAACCCTAGTGTTCTGATGGTGAGTGCAGATTGTATTCATTACGTTCTCACTATATTTAGTACAAGTCGATGATGACGTGATGTAATAATAAAACACTGTATTTTAATGAGATTGATCAATATGTTTGTTGAGAAATCGCTTTACCCAGTTTATAATCGCCTCTACAACTGATACATTCTTTGGGGCTTTGCGCAAGTAAACATAGCTTCAAACGCACGATTCTCAACAGTTTAAATTGGAATAAGCAATTATATCACAAATAGTTTCAGAATCATTTTTCTTTATGGTAATTTGTTCTACAGGAACCTATATTAAATATTTTCCTGGCAAAATCGGCCAGCATTTCAGAGAGAGGCGCTCAAGCTTAATCGCTTCAGCAGTTGTTTCTGTTTTTTTGTTGTTTTTTTTTTTGCATTTAGAAACCACCTTCGAGACAATTTCCCTGCTAATTGGGGCACGGATATTAGGTCATGTTTTTTAATGATTTAAAGCGCAATTTTCTTCATTTGAACAATAAGTCTAGAACTTTCATTTTCTTTAATTATTTCTGCTAATCTGCGATTTTTGTGTAATAACCAATCACCATAATCCAACAAAAGTGGTGACCTCTAGAGGACCCACAAACTATATACGGGTGATGTTTTACGTGCCAAAATCGAACTTACCCGAGATCTTTGATAGCATATTTCATCATAATGTGGGCGTATAAAATAGAGCACATAAATGAAATGGGGTTTAACGTCCTACTGTTCTGCTCTGACTGGGCTAATGAAGACGGTCATACGTATTCCAGTGTTGCTATGTGGGATATTTTGAACGCAAATGTATACACGGGACCTGTTTTTTGTCCCATCCGAATGAATAGACAGCTGTCCTTGTCAGGCCCTCTGTTCTACACCACTGACAAGGGGAAACCACGTCGGAAAATCCCGATGAACATTCTCTGCCAATGCAGGGATCGAACACGGAGCCAGCGTCTTACCCACTTAACCACCGTGGCCCCGGAGCACCGGAAACTTCAAAGAAATGGTAACATATAGTACAATATAATGCAAGATTGTGTTTCTCTGGTGATTAGGTGGGAAGTCGAGCTAGTTACACATATTACATCAGCAACAAAAGAAGGCTTGGACTGGTTTTACTATTATGACAGATTTGTTTATCGTAACCACCTGCATAGTTTATAAAAAGAAAGATGGCAACCAGAACCACTTGCGCTAAGAGCAGAATCAGTAATCGTGGTATTTCATTTCACATAGAGCGACCTTTTCACTCCTACTCCCAGAGACCAAACGTAACAAATAGATCAGTAATACATCAATGTGTGTGAACTTTCATATTTTCTTTTCCTCCATCGAGAAGATAAATAGATTATCTGTCAGAAGATTATATCAGCATACATCTTCATTTTCAAGATGGCAGAAAAACTCATTTAGTGCTAGACTGGTGTGGTTTCGGCATTGTGGTCAATCATCGCAATAGCCTTTTCTCCCAGAGTTTGTTAAAAAAAAATACTAATAAAATCGAAAGTTAACTAATATAATAAATTTGAAAAAAAAAACAAAAAAAAAACTGCTTAGAAATAAAATTTTGTGGCCCCTTGTTCATGATTGTCACCTGGACGATTGTTGCAATAGTGTTCAGATTATCCAGTTCCGAATGGTGTGTGTGAGACTAGATGGTAGTACCGGTATTGTTCAGTGCAGGGTTATATAGAGACTAATGTATGTGGTAGGATGATGTAAAACTAGTGCTGGCAGTATACTGAGACCAGAGAGAGAGAGAGAGAGAGAGATGGGGTTTAAGGTCCACTCGACACAAACTAGGTCATTTCAGGACTAACATATGTTTCAATTTTATTTCAATAATTCGCTTGCACTAAGAGGTAATTAGCAGTGGGAGGAAACCAGAGAATATCCACAAGGTAGAACAACCGGGGAATCGAAACCACGCCACTTGACTCAATGACAGACCTCCCACCTCCATGTTCAGACCAATGTTTGTTGTAGTATTGTGTGGGACTAGTATTAGTGGTAGAATAATGTGAGAGTTAGTATTGTGTGGGACTAGAGTTGATTGTAGTATTGTGTGGGACTAAAGTTGATTGTAGTATTGTGTGGGACTAGAGTTGATTGTAGTATTGTGTGGGACTAGAGTTGATTGTAGTATTGTGTGGGACTAGAGTTGATTGTAGTATTGTGTGGGACTAGAGTTGATTTTAATATTGTGTGGGACTAGAGTTGATTGTAGTATTGTGTGGGACTAGAGTTGATTGTAGTATTGTGTGGTAGTGTAGTACAGTGTTGTATAAGTAGTAGTATAATTCACTAAGGTTAGTATTTTGGATGGTTTGAGACTGTAAGTTGTTGGTAAAAATAAAATAAAAAACACCATTCTCTCATCACCGAGTATTTATTCTTTGAATAATTCTACAGAGAAAAACACCCCTATACATATGATTACCATACTACATAATAACGTATCAAATATATAACAAATTCATCAACAAAAGGCATCATATAAACCATAGTTATTTCATAGGATTGGTTTAATATAACTGTTTGACCATCTGTGTCCAGTCAAAATTAACATACTCAAAATAAACTAATTAACATCAATATAAATCTGTAATTAAATTAACATATTCATTTATTCAAAACTTAATTGGTTACCTTTTTCAAAGGAACATACATTTCAAAGGGATTTTTTACCTTCCATTCCTATACAATCTGATTAAAATATAGATCTATATTTCGTTTTGTTTTTTTATACTGGGTACTTTCGATGGCCCCTATTACATGAAGTAAAGTCAAGTAAAACGAAATTTTGAACTATTAAAAAGGAAACGAAATAGGATCTGTGTTTTAATAGATAACATACCAGTATTTACGTGAATCAATTAAGTGCCTCTTGATGAGTATTATTTTATTACAAGCTTGTAGTCTTTACATAAGATGATACTAGTACACAATTCACATTTAACATATAACCTCCATCAAATTTAAAATGGATCAATACCATTCCATTTAATGAAATTTAAAATGTTGAAATTGAATCCAAATTAACCTATAAATGATTGGTTTAAGTGGATATGACATCACTAATATACAGAAGGGGTTCCTGGTATACAAACAGGATCTAGTTGTTTAGAATTTAATGCGGGCTGTTCTCATCATTCTGGTCCTTGCAGAAAAGTAGGATGTCGTTTAATTTTATTTATAGGAGTTGGGTAAAAAATCCCTTTATCTTCAACGCATACATGTACCAATAAGTGAAAGACAATTTAGTTAACTAGTTGGTTATTCTGGTAAATAATGTATTTACCAACATACAGTACAAATATTGTCTGTCTCTTCTTATAAACATATATCTTCAGTATGTGCGGTACATCTCAATTATAAATAGCATACTTAACATACAAACAATACTCTTCTAAACAAAACAATTATTACTGACAGGTAAACTCACACAGGTATTCTCAACAGTTATTCATTTATGACAAACGTAAGATAATAAATAGGATAGCTCATAAATAAAACATTTTTTGAATATGGTAAAGTGTTTCTGGTAATATAATTGTGCATTTCTTGACAACTTCTTACACAAATAGTAGTAATATATGCATCCACTTCAAGGTGTTCAAAAAGAATGATAGGTTGACAGGGAATGAAACATATGCTCACAGCTGCTCAGTCGCCAGAGCTTTCCATAAAGATTGTTGCATATTTATTCCTTTGTGGGTAATGGGAGCTTTTACAAGGCACTAAAAATAAATCAAGAGCAACAACCCATTATAATAAAAATTTCAGAAATTATTAGGCTTCTTTGCTCTATTAACAAAAACACTGAATATTGATTTCAAGTCGATAAGATGATAATTCTTTTAGTTTCTAGAACTTATAACAACAAATTGTGGATGTAGGATGGATGGACAGACAGAAGTGACAACATTATTAAAGAAATTACAATCCGTTACAAATGAGTAATTTATATAAGCAAATCATATCACACAATTTATTAGAAACATAAGATTTTATTTTTTGATCCAGTCTTCTAGATCGGACATGTTGTTTATTTTATCATGTTGGTTAAAGAAATCTCTTATGAGTCTTTTAGCTTCCTCTTTACCTGAAAATAAACAACAAAAGTTAATCAATATTCTAAAATATTGAAGAGTTTCTTCAGTCTTATTGAACATCTCGAGTTGAATAATTACATAAACATCAATTTTCAAATATCAACATCATTTTAAAATCAAAGACTATTATTCTTGAAACTCAATTAGTGCTTGCTTTTCACCAACTCCAATAACTGATCAGAATTTTATAACTATTCCTCAGCCCTTCAACAAAGAAGTTTACTAGACACAACCAAAATAAATAATGCTGTATTTGAAGGGGTGCAACCATTCTTTAAAGATACATTAGTCAAGAGCTAAATCTGCCTATTTCAAGTCTTTCTATAGGCTTCAGATGTTATAGAAATTATTAATTAGACCTTTATTTACATAACAAGCGCAAAACCAACTCTGTAGACCCTATGATGGCTTGGATACAGCTTGGATTTAAACAGTCGCCCTATTTAATAATTAAATCATTAAATGGCTGGCCAAGCTAACATTTACCATTAATCACTGATGTCACTACCGGAGACTACCAATGAAATGACTGACAATCGAGGGTACCGTAGGCATTGAGGATGTTACTTGATAATCGAGAATATGTGGGCGGAGTTATCCTCTGTCAATCAAACGAGAATATGTGGGCGGAGTTATCATCTGTCAATTGAACAAGAATATATGGGTGGAGTTATCGTCTGCAGTCGCAGCCTATTTCTAGTCCAAAATTCCAACAGTGATAATTTCATTCAGAATAAAGTAATTTGACTAAAATTTTCAATATTTTCTTTTCTTTACCATCTATTTTTTTATTCTAACTAATGTATCTTTAATATCAATAAAGTAATGCACAACTACATGTAGTTTCAGTGATACGCAAACACAAATCAACATGAACGGTTCATGACAGAAATAATGACATGATTATACTGTACTATATGACAACATTGATAATAATTTCATACCATTGTTTTAAAATATTGGGAATGAACCAAGGTCATCAGATGTAACATAAAATAAAGACTTTTTATTTATTCCAATAGTAATATCTTAACCATTAATAATATTAACATCTCAAATTGAAACAAACCAATGCCATTTAATTATAATTTTTACTTAAAGATATCCGCTTATGACCTATTTAAATTATGCCTAATAATAAAGAGAGAATTGGGGTTTAACATCCACTTATTTTATATCAATAATTCGCCTGTGTGTAGGGATCTTTAGCAGTGGGAGGAAACTGGAGGACCTGGAGAAAACACATGAGGTTGGTGGACAGGCGACCCTACTCCTTGTCACGTACAACTGGGGTATCGAAACCACACCCGCTGACTCAATGACAGACCTTATGATAAAACGTGCACACACTAACCATTCAACCATTCAACCATCCAACCATTCGACCATCCAACCTCCCATCCAATAATAAGAGAGAGAGAAATGGGGTTTAACGTCCACTCAACACAAACTGGGTCATTTCGGGACAAACATATGGTTTAATTTTATTTCAATAATTCGCTTGCGCTTTCGGGTCTTTATTAGCGGGAGGAAACCGGAGGACCCGGAGAAAACCCACGAGGTTAATAATAATAATAATAATAACTTTATTTCAAAAGGGTTGACAATTAGGCCAATTGGACAGGCGCGTCTAATAATAAACCATAGCCTTTGTTGTAATGTTTGGCCAAGGACTGACCACTTGAACCCGGTCGTAAACTAATTCATATGATTTAACATATAGTGTTAATTATCGTTTTGTTCAGTTAATATCATCATATCATGCCAAATGATGACAAAATTGCCAAAAACTAAAACAAATTTTGTTCATGATCCAATGCATTACAAAATTAGGCAATTTACTAAAAAGGGTTGGCAACGATGTCTTATTAATAAAGCTCACTCATTTTGTCAATATTTTCAACATAACAGATATTTATATTGGCTGAGTTGCTGGCATTATGTTTACTATAAAGATAAGAAATCTTGCCATGTGTTTATTTACATGCCATGGTATATGACTGAGTGTTTATTTTTCAAACAAATTGTAAAATAAAGAACCTACATCAAATTAATTCAACAACTGTATTGAAGCGTTTATGTTAATTTGATATATATAAAAAAATGTAACTAATGCAGTTAGAGTCATGTTTTTATTAATTTAAGAGAACTGGTGGTAAAAACAGTTGTATATAAATTATGAACAAGGAATAAACACCTGCTTTACTGGCATATTACATTTATATCTGATGTTTTGTTGGTTGTAGTATGTACTATTTTAGATGCTATCAACATGTCTGACCACAACAGCTGTCAACAGAAGTAAGGAATTCTATAATATTGATATGTAAGACAAACCATTAAATACATCAAAAGATGTTGCAGTTGATTCAGCTGGTTGGTCTATTAAATAAAAGAGTTTCTTCCAGCTGTTAGATCTACTTATATTATACTACTTCAAACATTTCATTACCTGATTATACCAGACATATTTCAACACATGTCAATATCACATATAAATTCATTAGTCACTCAAGTCTTTAGTATCCTAATTAATTTTATGTATGGAAAAGAGAATAATAGCTTTACCTTGAGGCAGTCATCTTGTGATAAAATATAATATAACCATAGATATAGAGATCATGTTTTTCGATAAATTAAATATATCATTCTTTTTGTATAAGAGAAAGAGGAGAGAGAAATAGGGTTTAACGTCCACTCGACACAAACTAGGTCATTTCGGAACTGACATATTGTTCAATTTTATTTCAATAATTCGCTTGCAGGCATGGTCTTTAGCAGTGGGAGGAAACTGGAAGACCTGGAAAAAACCCACGAGGTTGGGCAGGCAATCCTACTCCTTGTCACGTACCTACTACTTGTGCAGGTTGGGTGAGCAGTGTGCAGATAGGGTGAGCGGTGTGCAGGTAGGGTGAACAGTGTACAGATAGAGTGAGCAGGTAGGGGAAACAGTGTGCAGGTAGTGGCAGCAGTGTGCAGGTAGGGGAAACAGTGTGCAGGTAGGGGCAGCAGTGTGCAGGTATAGGAAACAGTGTGCAGGTAGGGGAAACAGTGTGGAGGTAGGGTGATCGGTGTGCATAGTGGGACAGAGGGTGTGACAGACCGGGGCATCCATTTCAGGGGGTCAAACAATCAAACTTTGCCAGGGCATCAACAACCTATTGCAAGCCACTGTTCATTTCAACCCCTTTCTATTGAAGATGATTTCAACCTGTCATCCCCACCCCTATTACTGCTGTAAACCAACTAATATACTGACGTAATATGATTTATCTATCAAACAATTTATTACTCAACAACCATGACCATGTCAACTCTCATATTAAACAAAATGCTTTTTTTATCATTCTTAATCTTGATTACGTGACAAAATCAAGTCAACAACTATTCATCAAATTTCGAACAGACATTTCACACTTACATAATCAATAATAACCGTTAGTAGAGAAAACATGGAGTCTGATAAGATTAATAAGATTCAACATACTATTTCCTTTCAGTTTGTTGGTTTTTACTTACAACATTCATGTAAAATAAGCAGTGTAAATTAAATTCTACATGAAGGCCAATAAAAACTAGCTACGACTTAAAGGGACTGTCCAACTCTTGGAATGATGGTGTATATAAAGCTATGACAGATCTACCAACCTATAGGTGAGATACAGAAATGAAGTGGGCTTTAACAGTTTAACGTCCTATTTTTCTGCTCCGTCTGGAATAATGAAGACAGACATACACCATACTCTGTGCTACGAGTGAAATGTTGCCCAGGCGGCGGCACTACAGCCTACTCTTATTTTAAATTAACTGTCAAGGGTTCTTTTACGTGCACGTCAATGTGTACACATGACCTCTGTTTATCATCCCATCCGAATGATTAAACACTGTTCCTTGCCAGGCCCTCCTCCCTGCATCACTGACATGGACAAACCATGTCGCAAAATCCAGGTGCTTTCTGAGAAATACTGGGATCGAAAATGGGACCTCTAGGTTAACAAGCCAGTGTCTTACTCACTGAGCACACACGGCTCCCTGTGATGTTTCAAGATTAATTATGTGTTATACACATTACAGTTCTTCAGGATGCGCTCACTAAATACTTTAAGTTGGTCAGTACTTGATTCATAATACAGTTATTTTGAGTATTAATTAGTTTTCTGGTTATAAGTGATAATGTCTCTTGAAGAAGATATTTACACACGTTGTAAACGAAGATTTATTTCCTTATAACTTCCTTACAAATGACTGACTCTGGTGGAAGTTGGAGCATCTTTCATCTCAACATTACCTCTTTAAAATGGATCAATTCTCATGTTGGTTTTTTTTTTTGTAAATCAAATGGAATTGCAGAAGATTTCAAGAGTCAATGTTCAGCTACACAGACATCTAAGAGATTGATTTTTATTAAATGTCGTTCAACATAATGTATGAAGTAATATTATAAAATACTTCTATATTAATGGGATTTTTACACATTTTAGACAGATGTTGGCATGTGACAGAGATTTAAACCAATCAATATATGTTTATCTATATAGAATGTAGACAAAAACATTTAACTATAGTTTTTCAATGAAAGAAATGGATTTAAATAAAATGTAAATGAAATGATATTGAACGTCCTACTTTTCTGCACCAACCAGGATAACGAAGAGGGACATACACCATACAGTGTGCTATGAGGAAACTTTTGTCTGGGCAGCGGCACTATGGCCTCTTATACTGAATTCCAATTGCCAAGGGATCTTTTAGGTGCAAGCCAATGTATACACGGGACTCGGTACATCCTACTTTTCTACACCAACCGAGATAATTATTATTATTATTACAGCATATTTATAGTGCACCCTTTCATATAACATGTTCAGGTGCACTTTATAAAGTGACAATGTAATCATAAATAAACAACAAGATTATGAACATGTTAACGATTGTATACAGAGTCAGTTAAAAGCCTGGTTAAATAAGGGTGTTTTAAGTTGTTTTTTTTAAAAGAATATAGAGATGTACAACATCTTAAACAAAATGGTAGATTATTCTATAAAACAGGTGCTTGATCCCTAAAAGAGAGTAAATTATAAGAGACTAGTGGGCTATGATGGAAATTCCAACTGTCAAGGGTACTTTTACGTGCAGGCAAACGTGTACACAGTACCTCGGTTTTTGACACCATCTGAATAGCTAGATGGTTTTTATTACCAGCTCTTGATCAGTCCTGTATCACTGGCAAGGAGGAAACCTGTGGAACTTTCTCAGTCACAACACCCGATCCAGACGAGAATAATTTTAGCATAATCTTCCTCAAATTGGAACCAATTATTTTTTACACCCACCATTAATTTGGTGTTCTTGCCCATCTGAAGGTCTAGACCTAATACTACTCTGATAAGTTGAACCTGGTTTGTAAAAAATCATGAAGACTACGATTCTGGTGGTAGCTTCACTAATTTGAAAGAAAACCAGATCATATGTAGTAGACAACATAATCTAACTGTAGATGTCCAGTATAGCACCAAGTGTACTAATAGGATTATAAAAACAAGTTTAAAACTGTTATATATACCTAGAAGCCTACAAGCTGTCGATGTGGAAGTTAATTTTAAAAAAAAACACACGAAAGTGAAATAATGAAGTAAAGCACAGATGTGTTGTACTGGCACACTAAAACAAGGTTTAAACAATAGTACTGTTTAAAAAAAATATTATATACACACAAATAGATAACCATATCATTATACAGGTTACAAAAAGCCATGCGCTATGTAGGTATTGAAAACTAAAGTAGTAAAACTCTAGGCTACATACACATATGAAAGCAAGATAATAACATCTATAAGCTTACTCTAAATATTGCTTTACTCGAAAATTATTACTGACTATATGAGTTGAGTCTTTAAAGGAGATGAAGAATTTAAAAAATATTTTAATCACTTGACAATAGAATCATGTTTTTCTAGACACAAGACCAACAAAATCCAAACAAAACAAACATATTAGAAGATTTACACAACAAACACATTACAATATTGGAACATTCACACAACAAACATATTACAACATTGATCAAACAAACATATCACAACATTCACAAAACAAACGTATTGGAACATTCACACAACAAACATATCACAACATTCACAAACATATTAGAACATTCACACAAGAGCCATATTAGAACAATCACACAAGAGCCACATAATATTAGAACATTCACAGATAAGCCATATTAGAATATTCACACTTTTTTTCTTTCTTTTAAATGGGGTTTAATGTCCACTCGACACAAACTAGGTCATTTTGGGACTAACATATGGTTTTTTGATTTTATTTACATAATTCGCTTGCGTGTAGGGGTCTTTAGCAGTGGGAGGAAACCGGAGAATATTCACACAACAAACACATAGGACATTGATACAACAAACATATTAGGACATTCACAAAACAGCCAATTAGAAGATTCACACAAAAAACATATTAGAACGTTCACACAACAAACATATTAGAAGATTCATATTAGAATATAAAGACTAGGTGAAGAAAAGACATGAAGCAATAAATAAGACTAGATCCACTTACACACAGTCTTTGATACATCTGTAAAGAGATAAACATTCCATTTAATATCAAATCAAATATTTATCAATATATCAAATATACACAAGTCTGTACAGGATTTAAATAATCTGAGACCAACCCAACCTGTTCAAGTCACAACAATAGCTGTGTCACCTCCACGAACTAGTCTAAGGCAGTTTAAGTAATAGTAGTTAGGCACAGTCTGATTTCATATGAATTATTATTGATGTAGGATTAGTAGGTCCAACTTTAACTGGAATATACTGTTATAAAAACTATCTATTTATTATATGTTTACAGATTCTTATGTTTCAAGTGACTCAAGCAAATTTAATATGCACAGATATTATCCTATTTTATCCTAAATCTCAATTCATCCTTGTATTACGATTCTGACAACTATAAACAAAATATACCAATACCCATAGGCGTACGAGGAAATTTTTGACTGGGGGGGGGGGCGGTGGTGGTTGGTGCCCAAAAAATGTAGTTAGGTTCTTAGTATGTTACATAATAATAATAAATTCGCTGTTAAATTGGACACATTCAAGAACACAATATCTTTTTTTTATACAACTTTTACAAAATACAATTGTGTGCCCAAATTTTCCCAGCATTTGGTGCCCAAAATGGGGGGCCGCTCGCCCCCCCCCGCCCTGCCCCCCCCCAGCTCGTACGCCTATGCCAATACCCATAATAAATTGAAATCTGTCTACAGAGGACGGCAAAACAGACACAAACAAATAATAATGAAGAGTTAATTAATTACGTCCGTTAATCAAACGTTTGTTTTCATGGACAGAATATCTTAAAAACCCGAGTACAATAATCATAATATTGTATGGAGTGTTGAGACTGCGGAGATGATGAAAGGAATACATAAAATAACTTGACAGTCTGACAAACACAATATATACTATAGATATGTATATTAATCAAGGTAAGGTGTGCGTTACTTATTATTATAATAATATAGGTATAGAAAATAACATCATCATTATTACATCATTCTACTCTTAGAAACATCTATAATAAAGTACCAAGAAAAGTAAGTTGTGCTAACTCTCACCATATGTTTGGCATGAGTATTATTTTCAGTATCACGCTGGTATATATTTGTTATCAGAATTTGTAAGGCACAACACCTGCTTGTTACCTGGATATAAATATGTGTGAAATATTTTGTTTTCAGTGGTAGCTTCTCTTTATGTAAATCCTCAGGCTGGGATATTATCAAAATTACTTGAGGACGAGATATTTTTCAAAATATGCTTAAATCAATAAAAGGTTAAATTGATAAAATGAACACATACATTAAAATTATATCAAACAAACAAACAAAATTTCTGATTCTAAATTTTTTTTAGAAAAGATTAAATAGCTAATTATTGGTAATGGCTAATATGTGACGAGTTGAAAATAGAGAAAAATTATAAAATCAACGATCTTCCACCTACAGCTTAATGAAGCATAGTTGGGAATTCGATTTCAGAATATTGACTTAAATAAATTGGCATTTAATTAATGAATTAGCTCCTTTTTATTTTAAGAAACATGTTTAAGATGAAAATCAAGACAAGCTTATTAAACTTGAAATTTCACTTTATGACCCCTTCCTATAATGTCCCAATTTTTATTGAGATACAATATAGATTGTTACAATACAACCTATCACGGGCGTGGTAACCCATGAAGTTACATGAGGAACAAGATCCTATCCACCCCCCCCCCCTCTCCAGGTTAAATCCAATTTCATTTATGATCGGTGTTTAAATATATAAAATTATATAAGAATCAAGAGTTATTATCTAATTAATTTAAAGTCAAGTCGTGCAGTAATATGTGTTTTGTAAGCAGTATTTCGATTGGCAACTACATGATCATGTGTACAAATATATACTAGTTAGATGATTAGCTCAATTATAGATACACATACGATGTCATATTAAAACTATAATGTCATGTTAAAACTATTATACGATGAGAGAGAGAGAAATGGGGTTTAACGTCCACTCGACACAAACTAGGTCATTTCGGGACTAACATATGGTTTAATTTTATTTCAATAATTCGCTTGCGCATAGGGGTCTTAAGCAGTGGGAGGAAACCGGAGGACCCGGAGAAAACCCACGAGGTTGGACAGGCGACCCTACTCCTTGTCACGTACAACCGGGGATTCGAAACCTCGCCAGTCGACTCAATGACAGACTTTATGATAAAGCGCGCGCACGCTAACCATTCAGCCATCCAACCCCCCTATAATACGATGAAGATCTGTTCAATCGGTAACCATTCCCTCATGTCAGATACACACAACAAAAGTTAACAGATTTCTAAAAATCTCACTATGGGAGATTAGATAAAGAGCTGGCAGTTCTCACTATAATAGTTAAAAACTAGATAATGTAAAGGGAATAAGCTGAATATGTCAGTCAAATTGCTTCACTCTGAAACAAGATATTAGCGATTGAATTTTGATCATCATTACTTAGGTCGATATGATGAAAATCAAATCCTTGTCACGTACAACCGGGGAATCGAAACCATGCTAGTTGACTTAATGACAGACCTTATGATACAACACGCTCACCATTCAGCCATCCAACCCCCCCTGTATGATTAAAAGAACATTAATGACAACAAATAATTCTTGCTTCCATAGACTTAATGGCACTTTAAAATAGGCTGCAGATACAAAAATTTAATACCTTTAGCATGTGTACAATATTTTCTTTTTAATACAACTTCTATGCCAAAAGTAGCGTCTGCCATATTTTCAGTTATTTACTAGACGTGTCAAATATTGTATTGGCATGAACAAACTACAGGATTTCATAAACAATAACATGACAAAATGGTTAAAATGTTTTTGATAAGTTATCCTTAAAGATATTCACATCTTTATCTTGTATGAACAAATATCACACAATTCATTACGTCAAGAAATTATGATGGAGTGAAAAACATTCTTAACTAAAACATATTTATAATAACTTTCAAATCATAGCTCACTTATTTTGTGCGGGGGGAGGGGGGGGGGATGGTTAGCATGTGCGTGCTGTATCATAAGACCTGTCATTGAGTCAACTGGCGTGATTTCGAATCCCCTGTTGTACGTGACAAGAAGTAGGGTTGCCTGTCCAGCCTCATGGGTTTTCTCTGGGTCCTCCGGTTTCCTCACACTGCTAAAGACCCCTACGCGCAAGCAAATTATTGAAATAAAATTAAACCATATGTTAGTCCCAAAATGACCTAGTTTGTGTCGAGTGGACGTTAAACCCCATTTCTCTCTCTCTCTCTCTCACTTATTTCGCGAATGCTATGAGAATTAGACTTTCTGTTCACTATTGTCTCATTGCGCTTTGAGCATGCTTTTGGATGGATTTGGCGCTCTACAAATGTTCATGATTATTATTATTTGGTCCTTCAATTTATTAAAATTTGACCACAGATTTGTTCATATTATGTAGATTATAATTAGAACATGGTTGCCAAGTAATCCATATTATCATACCTGGATGAAATCCGATATTTGAATTTATAATAATATTTACATTTGGATTAAGGATAAGATAATCTTTGAATGATAACGCCTACTTGCAAGCAAATCATTAATTCTTAAAGAGTTGGATGAAAAGTAGTTTAAAGGGCCCGTCTCGATTATATTTTAGAGAATAAAACTGCTTAATTTTGTGTTAAAAGCCCTTAAAATCCTCTACCTTAGGGTCGAACAACAAACTCAATATACATGATACATTTTTAAACAACTTAAACTTGTCAGTCTTCATCTGGAAATGGAGACTGGTGTCCCAAGCTGTATTATACAGTGTCTGGATAAAAATAACGTGTAGATGAAATTTACCTTTTGTTATAAGTACAGCATGTGAGTCATGCACTGTATAGATCTCTAAAGAAACGGCAATAGATTATTATCAGGTCAACCAACGGAAAAATTGACCCAAAATCTTAAAAGGGTCACATGCCTGGATAAGCGGTTTTGATGTTCACGTCCAAACGACTCAATATTTTGAGCTGAAATTTGTAGAAAAGGTAAATACACCATTCCGTTATATTTTGGCATTCTAATTTCATATGCAGATTTTTATTTCTGAGCTGGTAACTTTAACGGTACTTCAATAACTAATTGACATTCTACTCAAGGAAACGAAAGAATATGAGTTTACTGGAATATACACCAATTCATTTTTATAGTTTGGCAACTATAACAAATCATGTATACACATCTATATTGCACAGCATGAGGAAATTTGTTATGCCAACCATTATGGACTTTGTCATTTAATGAAGCGAGGCCAAGTCTGGAACTAAGCAGTTACGATAATAAACAATCAATGCACACATCTTGTCAAAACTATAACAGTGATAACTTGGCTCAGAATAAAGTAATTTGAATGAAAGTTTCAATATATTCATTTTGCATTATCTATTTTCGAACTATTATAGCAAGAATGGTCAGCTTTTATCTAAATCTTACATAATGTATCTTTAAATATTGACTATATTTAGGATTAAATGTAATCAAAATGACTACATGTTTGGTTGATTTAGATATAATTATCTATTATAGTTCCACGCAAACATTCAGCTTTTCAATTTAATGCATACATTCTTCTACATACCAAATCAAATTCAAATACTAATGTTGTATAGAACGTGTCCTAGCAGAATATCTAAATTCTAATGTTGTATAGAACATGTTCTTGCAGAATATCTAAATACTAATGTTGTATAGAACGTGTCCTAGCAGAATATCTAAATACTAATGTGGTATAGAACGTGTTCTAGCAGAATATCCAATATACATGTGGAGTGTTTACAAAGATCAATTTAATATCAATCAACACAATGCCTTTTCCCAGCCAAAAGTACAATATCTGCAGGTTTCAACAATACTCAACAGCAAAAACGTGGCCTAGTATGTTAATAACAAAGTAAAACTGTGAAATTCATGCTAGAATTTCTCTCTCAACAATCACAGGAAATGAATTTTTAATGCTAGATTGCCACTGTTATGCGATGTGTTGCGATAGGATTGTCCCTATTGAGTCCACGATCTGCTTGCTACGTGCAGATACATTCGAACACATTTCCATACGATCAACAAGATTGCTAAGAAATGAAATGAAATGGGGTTTAACGTCCTACTGTTCTTCTCCTATACTGGGCTAATGAAGACGGGCATACGCCATACAGTGTGCTATGAGGGAAATTTTGCCCGGGCAGCGGCACTATCGCCTACTCTTATATTGAATTCCAACTGCCAAGGGATCTTTTACGTGCATTCCAATATATTATACACAGGACCTCGGTTTTTCGTATCATCCGAAGGACTAGACAGCTGTCCTTATCAGCCCTCTGTTCTGCACCACTGACAAGATTGCAAGGAATGACCTCAATATATGATAAGACCTGATAGGATCACCACGATTATTCCGCAAATAAAACCACAATTTCAATCGTAACACAACTCGTGATAGTGGGAACCTAGCATAAGAAAAGATAGGTTGCCAGGCAACGAAACATAGGCCCACAGCAGCTAAATCGTCCGGGCATTCAACAAGAGTTGTCGCATATTTTTACTTTTTTCGGTAATGAAACATTTATAATACACTAAAATCTGATTAAGAGCAACAACTCAGAAAACCATTAGAATTTGTATGGTTTTTATAAAGTTCTGCCCCATGCTAACGTTTTGTATACAAAACTTTTAATACTGTATCATGGATTTAGCTGTTCCAAGTCATAAAAATTCATTGAAAATCAATATACTTGTACGCCTCAAGATCTTAAACTCTGTGTATCAATCTGAAGTCAATCGGATATTATCTTTGGCCTCTAGAGCGTCCACAAGATTTTTTGAAGTGATCAAGGGCCATAACTCTGGCAGTAATTATCAGAAATCGCTGAAAATCAATAGGCTTCTTCGTCTCATGACCTTAAACACTGTGTATAAATTTAAAGTCAATCAGATATTAACTTTGGCCTCTAGAGCGTCCACAAGATTTTTTGAAGTGATCAAGGGTCATAACTCTGGCAGTAATTATCGGAAATCGCTGAAAATCAATAGGCTTCTTCGTATCATGGCCTTAAACACTGTATATAAATTTAAAGTCAATCGGATATTAACTTTAGCCTCTAGAGCATCCACAAGCAATTGTGGACGCCGGCCGGCCGGCCGGGGGCGACGACAATATACGCCCACATTGAAAACCTAACAGAATAAAGCCTGTAGAGTGTTTAAAGATGAATCAACCCGATAGATAACTGATACCTGAGATGTAGATATATATATAACAAACATACCTGTAGTTGGAAGACCTTTAATTGTTTCAGATAATTCATGTGCTATACTCTTTGCTACAGCTTTAAATAATTCCTGTAAATAAATATAACAGTTACTAGTATATTGAATTACTTTAATTACTTGTATAATAAATATAACAGTTACCAGTATATTGAATTACTTTAATTACTTGTATAATAAATCCTTATAATATATTCTATAATTTGATTATCCTTTACTACAATTAAATAAATAATCATAGATAAAGAAGAGTTTATTTCGGTTCTTATAAAAAAAAAGTTCAGCACGATTCATTAAAGGTAAATACATAAGTTTTTTAAAACTGAATTTCATGAACTGGCTCATTAATCAAAAGCTAGTTTGATTTCAGACAAAAAGGGTTACAAAAAAATAGATAATAGCACACAGTAACTGAGTAAGACTTGTGTACATAAGATTTTGTCATATACCCTCGATGTTAAAGAAAATTACCGCCTTTCCGTTCAATATCAGTACATGTACAAACTTTCATGATACTCGCTACATTAGAAATTACTATTCAAGCATATCCTATTTTACAGACAGGCCCCAATTTAAATATCTTCCATGCAGTGGAGCAAACAACACAGCTTGTTTATTAGTTATAGAGAGATAGAGAGAGACTTATATAGTGCTGGCAGTATACTGAGACCAGACAGAGAGAGAGAGAGAGAGAGAGAGAGAGAGAGATGGGGTTTAATGTCCACTCGACACAGACTTGGTCATTTTGGGACTAAGATATGGTTAATTTTATTTCAATAAATCGCTTGAGCGTAGGGGTCTTTAGCAGCGGGAGGAAACTGGAGGACCCAGAGAAAACCCAGGAGGTTGGACAGGCGACCCTACTCCCTGTCACGTACAACCGGGGAATCGAAACGACACCAGTTGACTCAATGACAGACCTTATGATACATTGTGCTCGCACTAACCATTCAGCCATCCAACCCCCCAGTTTTATAAGGGTCGTCCTTTTAACAAGCATAAATGAAGAGAAATATGTAACTGTTTTAACATTCTAATAATTGTTTGATATACATGCCCATGTTTGATATACATGCCCATGTTTGATATACATGATATACATGCCCATGTTTGATATACATGCCCATGTTTGATTTAGAATCTTCTATAAAGACTGGATAGGGAGAAGTAAGTGTATAATACAAGGGAGACAACTTCAAATAGATAACTTACCTTAGTAGCAAATCTTCCCTTCTGATAATATGGTGTTAAATATCGTACAACTAAATCAGCTGCTCCTTTTAAACTAACAGTTTCACATATATCAGGCTTTATAACTTTATTTTTTTTATTTGGTGATGCTTTTACTGAAGGTGATTCTTCTGTTTCATCAGGTACTTTAAAAGATTTTTCAGTTGAACTCCCCCAACGAAGTTTCTTTGATTCTGGCACAGATGATAAACTCTGTAATAGAAGGGAATTTGTTAATAAAGTTTATAATAATCTCCTTAGCTAACTATACATTACCTCTTACAATTACCTCTTATATAAAATGACCTCCTATACAAAGCTTAGAATTACCTCCTATATTTAAAACTTTCGAATAACGTATCAGAAAATACAAAATGAAATGAAATGAAATGGGGTTTAACGTCCTACTGTTCTGCACCGACTGGGCTAATGAAGACGGGCCATGACAGGTGACCCTACTCTTTGTCACATACAACCGGGGAATCGAAACCACACCAGTTGACTCGAATGGATGTCATTAAAACTTACATCACGTGGCCTTTTTCTAGAACTATCTTTTAAAGAACTCTTTTTGGTAGAAGAGGAACTTGAATTCTTTCGATCACCATGTTCTCCATTTTTGATATGTTTATGACTAGTACTCGAACCACTTTTGTGCTTGTGTTTATCTTTTTCATCTGGTCTTATTTTACATTGTTTTTCATCTTCTGATGAAGTTTTTATTTTTTCATCATCTGTTAACATTTTAGGATTATCTGGCAACTTTTCGAAGAAGTACACTAACTGTGGTGGGAATGGTTTTGAGGGTGTGTGTGATACCGGAGAAGTTGAATCAGACGACCTTTCAGCAGTGGGACCAGGGGTCACATCTGGTTGTAATCTAGAACTAATTGGTGACGGGGGCGGAGAAACTCTAGAACTGTCTGCTATATTAGTAGACCTGGATACGGAGGATGCAGACACAAAACCTGTTAAAGTAGATTGTCCTAGAGAAGATTTATGTGATTTCTTTTCACTCTTCCCTCTAGTAGAATGTTTGGAATTAACATTAGTCACTAGTGACGATGCACTGACGAATCCTGATTCCGAACTAAGCGCGGCAAATCCAAAATCCTCCTCCTTCGCAGATTCGCAAACTTTTGGCTCAGTATCCATGGCAACAGTTTCTTCTGCTATAAAACAGGAATGAAGAGTCTTTTCTCTTGTACACTTTCTGATCTCTGACACAGTTTTCATAACGGAGGTTTTATAGATGTTACCTATTTTATTTTTATTGAAAGAAGCGTATTCTAAATCTAAGGCACAACATCTTGGTTCATAATCCCGAGCTCTCAGCTTGTCCGAGTCTCCCTCAAAGAAACTTATAAAGTTCTGATAAAGAGATTTTTCTAACATCTCAAAGCAGTGTTCTCTTGTCTGAAAATAAAAATATGTACAGATCTATACATGTTCAATGTTTTAAAATCAAATATCGAACTTAGCAATATTTGATATTTTCTTTAATTTTAAGTTGTAGACAGGACAATCATGGATTTGACAACCATAAAAAAAGGGAGAGGGAGAAATGGGGTTTAAAGTCCAATATTACAATCAACAATTTTATCTCAATAATTATTGGAGTCCTTGACAGTTGGTGGAGGTTGGAAGGTGACCCTATTTCTTGTCATGTACAAGCCTTAGATCAATGACAGACCTTGTGAGCTAAAGTGCATCGCAGTGCCGGACTGGGCCCACCTGTCCACCTGTCCGTGACAGGTGGGCCTAAGCTCATTAATAAAAAGTGGGCCTAAGCCTATGTTATCTAATTGTATCAGGAAATCAAAAATTTGCCTTCTTCTGCTTTGTTCTGAAATGCTTGGAAAATTGGTTTGCGGTTGTCAATTTTAAAAATTTTCCTGATGGGAGACCCCCCCCCACAAGACGCTCGCACGCCTTTGGCGCGCTCGTGATACCCCTTCGGCGCGTACTTGTGTGGGCCTTGGTCAATGACCTGACAGGTGGGCCTTCGACCCACCAGTCCGGCACTGAGTGCATGCATCAGACCACATGACCAATGGAAAACACTATGGTTGTTTTTAATTTTAAAAGTAAAAACAGGTTATCAGACATGATACAAATAGCCTGACTATCAGATTTCTGCAGAATTACTGTTCAGAAAGTGGGTTCCATGTCGGCTGTAAATGCCGGTCAGGACCTAGGGCTCTGGAAAACGACTGAAACTGGATTAGACCTGTCAGTCATTTTGCATGCAGGAAAAGTAGTATATTTTGTGCTATATCATAAAATCCCCGGATACGACGAAACTGTGCACGTTGTGATGTAAAATGTCGGGTATAATAAAATTAACAGTAGTAGTCTACGAATGGAAACCACTGTCAATTAATTATCCTTGTGTATATTGCTCTAATCACAATCCACGGAAGATTAACATCAAACAGATTAAAAGATTAACATTTAAGCAATTTAATTAACCGTGGTTTGTTTTATAATTAGTGTGTAATCATTCTTAAAATCGAGACTTAAAACCACTGCAAACTTTCATCGCTCGTGCAGCCATATTTACTGTATCAACATCAAACAAATCAAAATTTCAGGTATCCTTTATAGAGATCTACATCTAGAACTACACATACCTTGACGGTTAATTTAGGTATTTTCTGATTAGCAGCATCTCTCAGCGGACAATCTAATGATGGTGCTTCAAATTCTGAGTCTTCTTTTTCACTTGTATTCTGCCAGAAAACAAGTAGAAAATGTTTCAGTCATTTACATATATTCTGATTTAAAAACATACAGAATTAAAACAGATAAAACATGTAGAAAATAGCTAAAAATAAAATGTATGCCTTAGGACTGTTTCTTAATGTTTTCTCATCTGGCATGAAAAATCTGTCTAGGTATTTTAGTTGTACGGAACTGTAAAAATTTAATTGCTATCTTTGGAACCCAACCCAAGACAATCTATACTAATATTTGTGACTGTCGTTTGTCTGTTTGTCTGTCTGTTCGGGGTTGGCGGCTACACTAGGTCTGCCCCGAGTCTGAAATTTGGGGTATAGGGGTAGCTTGGACCAGGGAGTAACATAGGCCAGGTGACGTTAGTCTACCACTTCCGGTTTCGGAGTTATGACCCCCGAGCGAAACCGGGTATCCTGCTAGTAAATTATAAATAACACTTACACCCCCTTTCCGTAATTTTAACTGTTTTTTAATGAGAGCCATCCTTTGAGCTTTTTCTCTTTGATCATCCTTTTCTTTTCTTTCTCTCTCATCATCACTATCATTGCCAGTTCCACCATAATCATCATTTTCCCTTAAAGGACAATATTGGTGTCAGCCATTATCACATATTTGATAGAACTGGTTAAACACATTAAAATTATAATTCTAACACAGAGATCGTTGCTACAATAGATGCGAAATGAAGATTTCAAGAAATGGAAGTGACGAACGCAAAAGGAAAACACGAGTTATCCTTCTACATAACTAACTGAAGTAACGAGAGATAACAGACACACGGTCGGATTGCATTTCACTGATAATTCCGCTGAGGATGAAAAGTTGTTATATGAGACGATGAGAGGATATCTGACAATTCCAAAAAAAAATAATTTGCTATCACTAGATAAAAGAAAATAAACAAATTAGAAAAGGTCTGTGCATTACCATGTTTTTATTAAGTAGAGAATGAATAAAAACAAGGGAATGCACAGGCCTTTTCTATTTTTCTCTTATCTAGTGTCAGCCAATTCTTATCTGCTATTGAATAAATTTTACATTAGAACACCTCCTCAATGTTAGTGTAAGTTTTTAATATTTAAAGAATATTTAAAGAATACTACAAACTACAGAATATTTAAAGAATACTACAAACTTTTTAACGCCTCTTCTACCTCCACCATAAAGTTCTGGATCAATGGCACCTCCATCAGCTTTAGCTATAGCTGTTCTAGCAGCATGACCTCCAGTAGCTAAATTCAGTAAATCTTGTTCTACTTTCTTGGGATATTTACACACATCACACATCTTTTTACAATCAGGTTTCTCATCACCAAAAAAATCAGTAAAATTCCAATGGCGACATCTGTGAACAATTGAGAAGTAATAAATTTTAATAATGTAATCTTTTCATTCTGCTTTATCTGTTGCAGGGTGAGTATGGATTTTGATAAAATTTCTGTGAAAAAAAAAGTTATGCAATTTTGAATTTTGAAATGATTCTCCATATGACTAGAATGTCTTGAGAGCGAGAGAGAGAGAGAGAGAGAGAGAGATGGGGTTTAATGTCCACTTGACACAAACTAGGTCATTTCGGGACTAACACATGGTTCAATTTAATTTGATTGCGTGTAGGGGTCTTTTAGAAGTTGGGGGATCATGTGGCTAAGTGGGTAAGACGCTGGCTCGCTAGCCTGGAGGTCGGGTGTTTGATCCCTGCATTGGCCGAGAAAGTTCATCCAGATTTTCTGGCGTGGTTTCCCCTTGTCAGTGATGCAGGATGGAGGGCCTGACAAGGACAGCTGTCTAGTCGTTCGGATGGGACGGAAAACCGAGGTCCCGTGTACACATTGGCGTGCCCGTAAAAGATCCCTTGGCAGTTGGAATTCGATATAAGAGTAGGCTGTAGCACCGCTGCCCGGGCAAAATTTCCCTCATAGCACACTGTATGGCTATGCCCGTCTTCATTAGCCCAGGTTAGGAGCAGAACAGTAGGACGTTAAACCCCATTTCATTTCATTTCTTTTAGAAGTTTAGAAGTGGGAGAAAATCAGAGGACCCGGAGAAAACCCACGAGGTTGGACAGGCGACACAACTCCTTGTCATGTACAACCAGGGAATCGAAACCACATTAGTTGATTCAATGACAGACCTTATGATAAAACATGACGCGCACGCGCTAACCATTTGGCCATCCAACTATCCCATGTCTAAAGAAATCTTAAAAACTGTGACTTGTGACAGGGGAATTTACTGAATTTTGCCAAGGTTGTGTCTTAGAACTAGCCAAACAATCCCATCTCAAAAGCTGTGACATGTAGCATGCTTACAAGGTTTTGGTGACAAGGACAATCCATGACTTGTGATATTTCAATGTGTCTCTGTATGACTTGATAAACAAGCCTAGTAAGCAGGAAGCTGTCAATGTTGTATTTACATGTACTTACTTAGGTTTCTCACAAAATTCTACTAATGTATTAAATCCATCCATAGTTGCTTTAGATCGCATTTTAGCGGCGGCCATGTCTTTCTGCAAATTGTAAAATGAAACGAAAATTTGATATAAAAATGCGGAAACTTTTCAAGTATAGGTAATTGTGTTAATCCATGAGATAAATAGCCAATTGTATTTGGAGAGAGGGAGAGAGAGAGAGAGCGCTTAATAATGTCCACTAGACACAAACTATGTCACTTTGGGACTAACACATGGCTCAATTTTATTTCAATGATTCGCTGTGCGTAGGGGTCTTTTAGCAGTGGGAGGAAACCAGAGGACCTATAGAAAACCCAACTCCTTGTCACGTACAACCAGGGATTCGAAACCATGCCAATTGACTAAATATAGCGTGCACATGCTAACCATTCGGTCCTCCACCCCCCCACACTGTATTTGGAAGATATCAGTTCATTAAAGTGTTTATTAATATAGCTGAAACATATATAAAAACAAAAATTTCAACTTCATTTCATATCATTAACATCAAAATTGTAATAATAATAATTAAAATAAAGAAAATATTGTAATAAAACAACTTAAACTGTAAACTAATCAACAAAATTTATTAAACAAAACTCAACATAAAAAGACTTAGCCAATATGAACTTTCCTCAGTCTGTACATTCTTAAAAATAATAATTGACTATTATAAGAATTCTTAGTAATTTCTATATATTAATTCTACTGTGTAGACACATTTTAATGTCATAATGGATAAAAATGAATATGAACTAAATAAGAAACAATTTGTTTTAATAAGAACACCAAACAAGTCAGATTTTTAAAACTGTATTCATTATATCTGAATACTAGAAGTGAATATGATTTAACGTCTGACTGGTCTACACCAACAAGGGCTAATTGAGACGGACATACATCCTGCACGGAGAGAAATTTGCACAGAAAGCAGCGTAACGGCATAATCTTAATTTGAAATTCTAACTATTAAGGGTTCTTTTACATGCGTGCCAACATATACATGCGACTTCAGTTTTTTACTCCCATCCGAACAACTAGACATGGTCCTTGTCACCAATGATAAGGGGAAAGCAAGAGGATTGAACCACAGAATTCCTGGTTAGTGAGCCAGCTGATTAGTAACTGAACCACTGTGGCTCAATAAGAAAAGTCGATTATAAACTATACACAACCCATATATCAACCTATATCAATCATACACAATCCAGGAGCACCTTCGAAAAAAATTGAAATGAAATGGGGTTTAACGTCCTACTCTTCTGCTCTGACTGGGCTAATGAAGACGGGCATATGCCATACAGTGTGCTATGAGGGAAATTTTGCCTGGGCAGTGGCACTAAGGCCTACTCTTATATCAAATTCCAACTGCCAAGGAATCTTTTACGTGCATGCCAAAGTATATTCCAGGGACCTCGGTTTTCCGTCCCATCCACACGACTAGACAGCTGTCCTTGTCAGGCCCTCCGTCCTGCACCACTGACAAGGGAAAAACAATGCCGGAAAATCACAATGGACTTTCTCGGACAACACAGGGATCGAACATGCAACTTCAAGACTAGCGAGCCAGCATCTTACCCACTTAGCCACCGTGGCTCCCGAACTAAGCACACAAATCATTTTTTTTTGTATAAGACATACATGAACATACCTTTGGTCTTTTTAAATCTGTATTGATAAGAAATGCTACTTTATCTCTTTCACTTCTAGAATAATATAACCTACAGAATGATTGTTGACCATCTCTACCGGCACGACCCGATTCCTGGTAATAACCAGCCATTGATTGTGGCATGGTCCAATGAGCTACAAACCTGAAACAATTCAAAACAGAATTTAATTCAAGAATTTTCGGTAAGGTTTGGTAATAATATTAAGAGCTTTATCAGCAATGTATTTTTGTGATTTTGCGGTCATATCCTAAGAGATCTTTAAACTGATGTAGCGTAAACACTCAGTCAATCATGATGTTTTCATTTTGAGTCAAGTCTGTATCACTCCAAACCTGATACTTTACAGAACAGTGGATGGTTGCGGTTGGCTGCCAGATCTTTTCACTTGATATGATAGTGCTTATAATGTCTGATATAAGTATGTGATGTGTATTATACGTGGGTTTGTCTGCTGGGATTCTGTGTCATGTGGTTTTGTTTATTTACTAATTGAAATTCGGTATCCATTATATATACCCAATCTGGTTAAAACACAGATCCTATATCGTTTCGTTTTTATAGTTCAAAATTTTGTTTTACTTGTCTTTACTACACTAGGATCTGTTACGGCGAGTTTTTGGTACGAGGCGAACTGAACTGTGGGTAAGCCACTAGAAACATCAATGCTGATTGATTAATCAATATCTGACGTCATAGGTTCAAAAGCCACTCATATGACACCTGACACAAACTTCCACTAGACTCGGTCAGATCTTCACGTAGTAGAGACCATTGAAAGTATAAAAAAATGAAACGAAATACAGATCTGTATTTTAATCTGATTGATCAATACCTTAAATATCATTGGTAAATTTTACCTGACATTAGCTTTATCAACACCCATACCAAAACTAACTGTAGCTACAATAACTGGTACTCGACCCTCCATCCAATCTGTCTGGACATCGATTCTATCTTGTGCTTTTAATCCAGCATGGTAAGCTTTAGCCATTATATTCTTTTTTCTCAGTTGTATTGCTACCTCTTCACAACCATCTCTAGTTCTACAGTATATTATACCACAACCATATGATGTCTGTAATAGGAGTAACACAATTAACACACTAGTCAAATGTTTTACTTGTCAGCGCGCACGCCGCACAAGCTAACCATTCGGTTGTGTTGCAATCCACATGTTAAAAGGTAGGAATAGAAATGTATGGCTAAATCTATTTGTAAAGGCCAGCTCAATTTTTGTCAAGGTTGCTGAGATGTAAATAAGGTTAGGGCACGTGATTGTTGGCGAGATGGGATTAGCGGTAGTCCTGTTTACATCTCATGACCTATGACGAAAAATTGAGCTGGCCTTATCATTTAGCACTAACCAGAAATACACAGTACTTACCCAATCTGGTATATTCATATCTTCTGGAAGAGATCCGAAACAGGTTTTAATAAAATCATACAAGTCTTTATACGGTTCCCTTAATGTTTCTTTCAGTGTAATTTCATAATACAGATTAGAGCGAAAACAACTACTTTTAAATTTAATTGGATTTTTTAGTCTTAGTTGTTTCAGAATATCTTCCTGAACTTGTTTTGGGGCTGTTGCTGTCAAGGCTATACAAGGAACACCGGGCATTTTTGAACGAAGTGTTCCTAATTTTAAGTAATCAGGCCTAAAGTCATGTCCCCACTGTGATACACAATGAGCTTCATCTACAACAAAGTAACTCAAAAGACGTCTTTGAACTAAGTTCTGTAAATATCCTTTAAATACTTCTGTGGCTGCCTGTTCTGGAGTGATGTAAAGTAGCTTAGTTTTGGGATACGCTGATTGCAAATCTCCAACAACACGACTCCTGTCTTTTGTGGTCATTTTAGAATTGATAGTCTCTGCTGGTATTCCTTTGGCTGACAAATGTTCAAGTTGATCCTGCATAAGGGCTAGTAAAGGGGAGACAACCAGGGTAACACCTTCACCAATAACAGCTGGCAGCTGGTAACATAGAGATTTACCAGCTCCTGTTGGCATACTGACAAAAACATCCTTATTTCCTGAAAATATATAACAATTCAGTGTTGAGTAAGCTTATCATCAGAGTGCTACAGACAACATCAGTGTACTAATTTATATTAAAGATTTTCATTCAATACTTTTTTTTAAATGAAATGGAATGGGGTTTAAGGTCGTACTGTTCTGCTCCTAATGAAGACGGGCATACACCATACAGTGTGCTATGATGAGGGAAATTGTGCCCCGGGCAGTGGCACTATGGCCTACTCTTATATCAAATTCACTGTCAAGGGATCTTTTACGTGCACACCAATGTATACACAGGACCTCGGTTTTTCGTTCCATCCAAATGACTAGACAGCTGTCCTTGTCAGGCCCTCCGTACTGCACAACTGACAAGGGGAAACCCCGTCGCAAAATCCTGATGAACTTTCTCGGCCAATGCAGGGATCGAACACCCGACCTCCAGGCTAGCGAGCCAGCATCTTACCTACTTATAGCCACCGTGGCCCCCTACTTTTTTATACAATATACTGTGTTCAATATTTTAGATAAACTTTTTGATCATTGTGAATCAAAGATTATTTTGAGTTTGATATTGTTGGTCATTGTAAATATCTGTACAAAAGGTTGATATTTATATAGTATAATACAATGGGTCATAATAATTGATTACATTGCATTAGAATGAGAAAGTCTGTGTAATGGTACCTGCAGGTAATGTAATTAATTATATTTGCAATGTAATTGTCCTAGGCCTGTTTGTATTGACTATTACACTTATTCTTTTAGAGTTATTATATTTGATATTATCCCATTTTATGGCCTAAAATGGATTTGCAGAATTTCTCAACTCCTTTGATAACTGCTTAAAGTAGTCCAGAGTTGAAAAGTTGTTGATTTCAATACAGATGTTACGGTACTCAATCAATACTTATAATAATACTACGACTATAGGAAGTCAGACTGAGACAGACCTTTAATTGTAGGGTAAAGTTTGTAATCAATCTTCTCTTATTGACTATAAATAATACCCAATACTTCAGTCATTTCAACTGTCAAGGGTTTTTATATGTGAACCAAAGTTTACATGGATATCCTCACTTTTCCAGTTCTTCTACCCACATTCACTTATATTATACCAAATGTCTTTCATTTTATGAGTTTATTGTGTACCGTATGTAACACTACCATGAAATCTGTTAGGATTCTACATGTACATTAGACTGATAAATATTATTCGTTGACATGTAACATAAACGGTAAACACTAACAATCAATTTCTATCACCATATTGATATTTACACGTCATTTAAAATAAAGAAAAGTTAACTCTACTCTTGACCACCTGGGACGTTCTCATTGCTAAACACATATCAGATCAACGTTTTAAAGAGCAATGTTTTCATTGCTATACACAAATTTATCTAAATATTTTTAGCAATGTTGTTGTATGTATATGCAACATTTCTCTAAAATAACCTATTACAGCCATGAGATTAAGTGTCCTGTCACTGATGTGTTATTGATAGCAAGGGGCTGTTCTTAAAACTGGTCTAAAGACATATTGATGACTATTTTTACAACATGGTGGAAGTTCAACCGTCCTATATTTTGTGCAATGACATAGTTGAATTTTGAATTAATATATATTTGTTCGTAAACTGTTTGTTTTAGTTTTAACCCTTTTAGTGTTGTCTTATAAATCTGGATGGACAATCTAAAGTAGCTAAGTCTCTTACTCAATAATAGTGGACTCGAAGTCGGATAAAAATACCGCTTCAGGCGATACTGTAGTTGCATTGCACCACTACATTGGCCTCTGTAAGTTTAATTCGTCATAATTATCATATTTTTGAGTTGTTACACTCATTCATAAAGAAATTGAGTTTGCCAGGTAAAATTGAAGGCACCCAATCGTAGCTAAAAACAAACACGTCAGTATCTCAACTACCTAAGGCAGGCTAAGCTACTGTACTAACCTTGTGCAATGGCAAAAACAGCTTCTTTTTGTAATGGAGTTTTAAATTCTTTATGCCCAAAAGCTGTGTTTAGTGTCTCGTAAACAACTTCACAAAATTCTTCTTCGTTTTCCACATCCATTTTCAGTTTAATTTACAGCATATTTTCCAGTTAAAAACTTTTATCACCAAAGGCAAAGTGCCATGTTTGCATGTTTTCTACATTTTGGCCTCAACCGCAAAAGAGCATAGCAAAGGTAAACAAACTGGAGTTACGCCCCTTTAACTATCAACAAACCATTTCTATACCGCCCACCAGAGCCTTATCCTATTTGCTATTTGTTTTGCGTGTGGTGCTTAGCTAATTAATTTAATACAATAGCCCACTTAAATTTTAGTAGACAATATGTTTTTATAAGGCATTAATCAACAGTACTATTACTAATACAGTACTATTCATTTCTCCATTTAATTAGCTTTCATTCACAGGCCTAAAACAACAGATTTTAACTTCAATGAGGTGCTCCACAAAATCCTCTGTTGGACATAGTGTGAAGATGGTCAAATCTGCTTGCCACTATAATTAGACTTTAATTAAAAATCTTTTCAATAATGTTAAGTTTGGCAAACACAATCCAACAATAGAATAATCTGAGGTGAGAAAAAGATCGTGGTATCCATGATAAATGGATATAGTTTTTCCTGTTTAAAGAAGACCCAATAACCAAACACTGTCTTATCTGCATTAAGTTTTTAAAAAAATGTTGGTCATTCAAATGTTAATGTCGATCTAGTACAGGTCTAGGAAAAACACACAATTTCAAGGAAAAAATCTTGATTTTGCCAATTTTCGAACCTCTGTATAAATCACTTCTGTGGCTTTATAGATATTATTTTTGTCTTGTTCACATTCTAATTAACCAGGAAACAACATTTACTTTCATGCCTAATTTTTTTCCATAAAAATAAAAATAAAAAATGCCAAAAAGTCACATCTTGTTCAAACCCTCTAAAAAATTGTTCTCATCAATTCCAACATGAATTGAAGGTAACCCTGTAACTTTTCAAAATTTTACAAAATAAGGACCACCCGACTGTCCAACCTCATGGGTTTTCTCTGGGTCCCCCAGTTTCCTTCAACTGCCTAAGACCCATACGTGCAAGAGAATTATTGGAATAAAATTATTGAACCATATGTTAGTCCCGAAATGATCTAGTTTTTGTCAAGTAAAACACAACTGATTAAACAATAACATTTTCATTTTGTAATTTTATTAAAAAGACATTTTTTTTTATGGTATAAAAAATTCTGTGTTGCTGTCAGATTCTGATTGTTCTTCTAGTGCCATATTTATATCAGCTTCACTTTCACTAACACTGTCTTCCTCACTTTCATTATCAGAAGTTTGTTTTGTTATGTCTTTTAAATTTGTTTTATGTTTTCGTTTTCCTTCAATCTGACATGTTTGTGACAATACTTGTATAAACTGAAGATTATATTTATTATGATCACATCTGAAACGAGAAAAACTCGGGTTAAATTCAAATTAAAACATTAATCGCTGAAATTATGTCATGTTTTAAATAAATATGAGCCAGTCTCACTTACTCTGATGTACATATGGGTCTGCAGAAAGAGAATTTTGCCTGGACAGTAGCACTTCCACTCTCTCTACTTACAGAATTCTTTTACATGTACGCAAATATTCCATTTGAATGACTAGACATAATTTTCTTGATAGATTTGCAAGTGTTCTTCTTGTGAGTTCTGCATAAATACAGGAACTTGCTATCTCTGCGATATAGTATTAGATGGAACCAGACATCAACCTCCATCAAAAACGTTATACACTTATCTCTATGGAGTCAAGATTAATGGCCGGCAAGTTTTACCAGAGATACACGAAGGATAGCCTAAAATTATCTCTAGGATCGAGAGTGATTTAACTTTTTGTGGTTTTCAAGGATTTTAACAAACGTTTGTCAAAAATACCCTGTTCTATACAGATCACTACTTGGATATTCAAGACGAGTCCAACTCTGAATGTGATATTTCATAAAATTAGTTATATTCTTTTCTTAATATTGAAAGTGTTAATACCTCTTTAAAAGTAAACTAATCAACAAAATACAATAACTTATGCAAACAATACCTACATTTTACTTATATCTTCATATTTTCTAGTGACATTTTTCTGTAACGATCTAAGAGTTGCCATTAGTGACTGTGATCGTTGTTTTAATTGTGGACCATGTTGCATTAATAAACACTGTAACCATATGAGATAAAACTGTATGTGGGCTGATGATTCTATTTGTGTAGCTATGAAGTTTAATAATTTATCTATGTAGACATTAGGAAGATTCTGACAAATCACATCAACTGTAAATAAACAATGAAAAAAAAATTAATAAAGTTTAATGTCAGCAATCTTATTTAGATGATTTTAAATGATTACTATGAAATTTATTATGCACACAATATAACCCATTTGGTGCCTACTATATTCATGCCATCAATATAACCAATTGCCTGATGAATGTTACAGAATATAAATCAGTTGGATGGCCAAATGGTTAGCGCGTGCATGTTGTATCATAAGGTCTGTCATTGAGTCAACTGGCATGGTTTTGATTCCTGGGTAGTGCTGATATCAAGTATCGATGCATCGCCGATGCATCGATTCGGCTAACGCCTATTCGATTCTCGGTACTTTTTTGTATTATCGATGCATCGGCAAAAAATACTAACAATTAGCTTTATGTGTCTGAGGACTCAGAGGAGTTCACAAGTTCGTCCACTAGAATAAAAAAACACCTTTTAAATACGTTTTTCTGCGTGTTTTATATCATTCAAAATAAAACAACGGAACAATTCAATGAATCCCGCACAAATTATTAGGCTTGACCTGTTTACCCTACGCTTCCGTTATGTTTTTCTCCATTTTCCAGTGACTACAAAGTCAAAGACTGCGTTTGCTGGTTACGTCCCCTGGCTATCATGTCCTTTAACCCCAAGGTCAATTTCACGGTTCATTTAAATGACCAAACGAACTGTCAGAAGGATAATATTTCGCGGCCGGTTCTTACAACAAATTTGAACAATGGCTAACGAGTGTCAATTGAAGTGAATCGGACAATATTAATGTCATAATAAATAACAGAAGAATATTGTGGAAATAAATTTATTCAAATAAATCGACATTTCTATAGTAGGCCTAATGATAATGTTAGGGAAATTCATGTTTCTATCAGAAATACTAATGTTATTTCTGTAATTTTTGATTAACAAAATGGTGGCAAAAAATTCCCGATGCATCGATACGAGAATCGATGTTTGAGTCCGATGCATCGATGCGTAAAATTTTACTTGATATAAGCACTAATTCCTGGGTTCTACGTGACAAGGAATAGGGTCAGCTGTCCAACTTTGTGGGTTTTCTCCGGGTCCTGTGGTTTCCTCCCACTGCTAAAGACCCATACGCGCAATAAAATTGAAATTGAACCATATGTTAGACCCGAAATGACCTAGTTTGTGTCGACTGGGCGTTAAACCTGATTTCTCTCACATGCATACGTTAAATCATTCAGCTACCTACCCTGCTGATATTGAAGCAATTCATGTATAACAACAAGGTTTCAGTACTTATATTCGTATACATGTATGACAATAATGTTTCACCCACCCATCCACCCTGATATTGAAGCAATACATGTATAACAACAATGTTTCAGTACTTATATACGTCTACTTACTATCTTTTACAGGAATATTTTCTATAACTTCTTCAACAAGATTCTGTTCATTCAGTCGGAAACTTAACATTAGTGCCTTGGAAAAGTTTTCATTATGTAAAGTTTTTCTGATATTTGCTGGAGTTATGTCCATTTCTAATTCAAATGGATCAAAAACTAAATTATGATCTAGAGAGTATATCAATAAACCTTCTGTTGTCGTGGCAGAAAATGCTCTTCCTGAAAAATATGTGCAAAATAAATTAATGAAAATGCATTTTGATTTGAATCAAGTTTCAGTTTGTGAAGAAATGAAAGTAACATATTAAATTTTAAATATACCTGCAGTAAATGTTTGGTGTCTATATGCAACATAAGATTTCAATTACCTTCTAAATGTTTAAAATGTAATTGCTGTTTATTATGATGTCAGTATTTCTCCCATATAAAGGTCAAATTTGACCCATTCATTGGAGTGATCCTTTACTCTGTATACAAATGACTGTATTAATCAATTTATGGTCATATAACAGAGAGAGAAAAATGGGGTTTAACGTCCTACTGTTCTCCCCACGAGGGAGCTATGAGGGAAATTTTACCAGGGCAGCAGCAATATGGCCTACTCTTATATCAAATTCCAACTGCTAAGCGATCTTTAACTTGTATACCAATGTATACACGTGACCTGAGTTTTTTGCCCCATCTGAAACCATGTGGTCATATAACAATTTACAGGTATATTATATAGGTCAATAAATGTAGGTTAGGTATTATTTTGGCCCTGATGTTCATGGGTAGAAATGAGTTATCATTCAGACAACTACTATAGACAATATAAATGGGGGCACAATCAGTAGAAAATAATGTAAACTTTAAATGTTCAAAACTTGGAATAGTGTAGTTATAATCAGATCTATTTCTACTAGGAAAGTTATATACTGTGAACATTACCTGTAGGTGAGAATCGAACACAGGCTACTCGTACTTCTGGTTTAAAATGACGAGAACTTAAATCTCCTTTCTTTACACCTGGTAAATTTAAAGTTACTCCATCCTGCTCCCCTTCCCCAGCATCAACTAAAGCTAAACTTCCCCATTCTGTCATTTTTCTTCTATCAAGATATTCCTGTAATCATACAACAATAATATATATAATTAAAAATCTCATCTTCACATATATTCCAGGAAAATGTCTACAATCTTCTTCAAAACATCTGTTAATAGTACCATACACGAGCTTAGAAATGACCAAATGTTCATTCCAGTACTCTTCAGCTCATTTGTGGAATTCACTACACCTTGATATAAAAAGATCAAAGTCTGTCTGCATTTTCAAAACAAGACAGAAAACTCACCTGTTCATACAACACTATGGATGAAATGGAACCAAATTGTATAACTTTGCAAGCACATTTGGAACTCCTAATACGGGTATTTATTGTGCTATATAAATTATGTTATTATCGGGAGCCACGGTGGCTAACTAAGAGGTCCTGGTTTTGGCCGATGAAAGTTCCCCAGATTTGTCCAGCGTGTTACCACTTGTAAGTGGTGCAGGACTGAAGGCCTGGCAAGGAACAATGTCTAGTCCTTTGGATGATATGAAAAACTAAAATCCTATTTACACCTTAGTGTGCACATAAAAAAAACCTTAACAGTTGGAATTAAATTGCTGTTCAGGCAAAATTTTCCTCATTGCACTCTGCATGGCATATTCACATCGTCATTATCCTACTTCATTCATTCTAATCACTAGCCATTTATAATGATTAAATCATTGCAACATGTGTCTCTAAGATATATATCATGTCCATCTATTATATGCTAGAAACTAATAGATGTTTATCTTTCATTAAAGTTTTCTATTGGTTTATGTTTAAACCATTAGAACTTGATCAGGTACAACTCTACTAGACAGTTACTAACAATGGAAAGTGATCATTTTCCATAGATCAGTCTTTCAATCAGCATCAACATTGATAATAAAACTATTTATTTACCTCCATGCCATCAAATGAACGATTACAAGAGATTTCGAATTTCTTCATGAGAATCTGATCGGCTACAGAATAAATACAGATATTTTTAGACTGTCCGCCAGCTAATAAACATTTTCCATCAGCACTATAACACAATGTATTAAAATATCTGAAAAAAAAAAGATAACAAATGCAACCAATATAACTTTTGTTTTTTATGTTTTTGTTTTGAGAGAATGGAAAAGGTTTCAACATCTGATTAAACATACATTATGTAAGAGCTAAATCTGCCAACTGCAGGTCTTTCTTCAGACCTGAAATGTTATCTAAACTATTAATTAGACATTAATTAAGTTATCTAGACGATAATTAACTCTCAATGCCATCGCTAGCCTGCGATATTTACTGGATTTGAATACATTTTGTCATGGATGCTCTAATGTCAAAATGGATAATCAAGACTTTGTTTTTTATTGTACCAACTTTAGTAATGATGATCGAGGCTAGGCCTAAACTTCAATCGCTAATATCTCGGTTCAGAGTGGAGCAATTTGACCGAAATTTTCTTTACATTATCTATTTTTTTAACTATCATAGCAGGAACTGTCAGCTCTTTATCTAATCTTCCATAATGCCTCTTTTATTAATTGTTGATAAACCCATAATGCAAACATCAATAACTTACTTTCCCTCTGAGAGTTTTTTGGCAGTAACTTTATCTGTATCTTTTCTACTATAGCCTAGATCATGTCTACCCTCTACCGATCCTATCTGTACAGCCGTATAAGGATTCCAGAATGATATCTGGCCATTTAATGTTGATACAGCTAATTCCTGTCCATCTGGTCGGAATGTTAAAGAAAGAACTGAAAAGAGCAAATAATAATAAGCATTTGTTACACATCAAAGATATAGACATGTTCTTGTCGTGTTCTCTAATACCCTAACCAACAGAAGAGTCTGACATTTTGAAAAAATATAGGGTTCCTCCATTCACCCGCATGAACAATCCCATCAAGTATTACAAAATTCTACTGCATTTCATAAATTTCAATATATATATAAGGAAGTTACCAAGTTTTTAAGAATTTCATCAAGAATTGGTAGCGCACTCCCAAGCTTTAAAATTAAACATTTGAGAAAGTGGGTTGTAAATTTACTATCCCAAAATTTTATGAGTATTTTCTTATACCCTAAATCCCACAATATCTAAGCAATAAGCAATTGAAAAATTTCGAATTTCAATAAGGGGTCTCCCAATAATCTGACGTACATCCCCGTAAATGTGAAAAAAATACATCAGAACTCCAAAATATAAAGTTATCACAAGAAATTATGGACAGAAGGATGTCTCCATTAAATGTGGGCTTATAATAAACCACCTCTACATTGTCGGGGAAATTTTGTAAAATGAAAAAGGTGGGAGCACTCTCTTTTAGATTCGAACATCTAAAGTCCTTTTAAACCTAGAAAATGATTTAATGCAATCTAAAAACAATTAACTTAAATCTCTACACATACCATCAGTAAGTAAATGTATCGTTTCTTTAGATCCTTTACTTTCAAATACATCCCATATTTTAACTGTTTTATCCCATGATGCACTAGCTAACATGGCTCTACTAGAACTAAAACTAAGACAACTGATTGGTCCTTGATGACCTGTCAGTACCTGAAAACATAATGCAATCATTCATTAGTCGCCATTCCTCGATAAATATTAGTAATTCCCAGAGTATCTAAATTTATAGCCGGGCCTCATACAGGTGGAAGAGGGTGTTTAACGTCCACTCAACACAAACTAGGTCATTTCGGGACTAACATATGGTTCATTTTTATTTTAATAATTTGCTTGCCCGAAGGTGTCTTTAGCAGTGGGAGGAAACCAGAGGACCAGAAGAAAACAGGTGAACAGGTTGGAGAGATGAACCTATTTCCTGTCACGTACAACCGGGGAATCAAAACCATGCCAGGTGACTCAATGACAGACCTTATGATATAATGCGCACGAGTTAACCATTCAGCCATCCAACCCCTAGTTATTCTGCCCAGAGTTATTATGTTTAGAAACTAAATGTTACTTACTTCTAATAATCTACCCGTTTGCATTGACCAAACAAATATTTCAAATGAATCTTGACCTCCAGCACATACTATTTCTCCACTATGATCTAATGCTAAACATGAAAACTGTACTGGACGAGGGGAGGTAAACGTTCGAAAGTTACGATATCTGAAACATCAAAACCTTCAATACAATTTCACAATATATTCCATTTTATTCCAAATATATAGACATTTAAACTTTCTAGATCAACAGATACCACTTGCCATTGGGTTCATCTGCGCAAGGAATGCCATGTTATACATTTATCCTTTATGCTGAACTTGTTTCAAGGATATTACTGTAACTTTTTAGTACAATGGATACCACTTGCCATTGGGTGCATCTGCGCAAGGAATGCCATGTTATACTTTATACTTTTGTTTTTCCTTTATGCCGATGTCATATTGTGGTATATTCTGTATCACTGTGGTCTGAATGCCATATTTAAGTTAACACAAGTTGTCTCCCTTATGTTGTAGTTCTTCTGCCTTTTTGAGTAATAAAGATGGAGATTTGGAATTCTAACATGGAGAATGGTTGATTTTTCCTTTTCACCCACATGTAACTGTGTAACAACCCAGGATCCAAATATAACACTGAACTTATTTCAAGGATACTACTTTAACTTTTCAGCGAAACTCAGGACCTTGTCTTCTACTTGGAATTGACTTATACATAGATGAAGGTCAACAGATTGACATTGTGAAAAACTGTCGCTCTACAGTGCGAGTGCTATTATTTAGCAGATGATGTCACTCAACATCGTCTGCTGAATAATACCACTCACACATGAATATAAAGTACATTGTTCAGATGTTTGTTATCGTCTAATCCACTTATAGTATTCCAATCCAAATACTAAATAGATATATAGGTTGTTTAATTTTATTACCTGTTAAGATCAAAAGCCCGAACAGTACCATCTAAAGAACATGATACAACAACTTGACCATATTGACTAAATGCTACTCCTGATATACCACTAAGATGTTCATTAAACGTTATAAAACAAAATCCACTACTTGTATTCCATACTTTCACCTACAATTAATACATAATATGCTTTCATTTTATTTGTGTTCATATATGCTTAAGAATGACTTGTGAAATTGCAGTGAAATATACCATAGTAATTGTTATCCATAATTAGTGTTTTATTTGAAGATGCTTTTTAAACCAAGACACCAAGAGAAAACTCAACTTTTCAGATAAGTTTAAAGGGTTAAGAATAGAGAGACAGAGAGACAGAGACATGGAGTAATGTCCACTTGACACAAACTAGGTCATTTCGGGACAAACATATGGTTCAAGAATTTGTTTGTGCATAGGTCACTTGCATGTAGGGGTCTTTAGCCGTGGGAGGAAACTGGAGGACCCTGAGAAAACCCACAAGGTCGGACAGGCAACCCTACTTCTTGTCACGTACAACTGGTTAATGTAAACCACGCCAGTTGACTCAATGCTAGACCTTACGCGCTAACCATTCGGCCTCTATTATGCTGACAAACATTACAAGCAGTGTGAACTGGTTACAGCAAAAAGGGGCATAACTCTAAAAAGTATTTATCCAATTATGATGATAAGAACTAGGGATTCTCTTATTGTCACAATACTAGTTTACTGAAAGTTTCAGAAAATTCAGATAAACACTGTAGCCTCTAGAGCACTAACAAGAAAGTATGGGCAGAGACAAACAGAAAGAGGGATTACAATATACATCCACATTAAGATGTGGGCGTATAAAAACTACTTTTCTAAGATGTTTTGGTTGAGAATGGACTACTTCCCATATTCCTTAAGCACTGGTTAATAATCATTGCTGCATCAGATAACACTTGTAGACTAATCAATACCACAATGAAAGAAAAGTACTACACATCTTCATCTTATTTAATTGATTTGATTAGTTGACCGACCAATGAAAAAACTTTCAGAACTGCTATATCATATGCTTTTAAAACACTGCTTCAGAAATATAATCACAGCTTTACTGCAGTTTACCTTTCCATCATCGCCTCCGGTGACAATATTTTGTCCATCTGGTGAATATTCGAGACATGTCATGTTGTTAAAATGACCTTGTTGTTTCATGACATACGATTCACTCTGCCATTCCCACACCAGTAATTGTCCTTGTTGTGAACATGCTACACCTATCCAATCACCAGTCAGATTTATATCAACTGATTTTACTGATTGCTCAGAAATACTACAATAAAAACAAGATATTTATGAATTAATAAAATTACAAAACATCTAGCAACATGTCATTTAAAATAGCTAAGTCTCTAACTCAATATCATCCAAAGTCTTCAACACTGAAAACACGAATAATTTGTCAATTTAAATCAACATTGATGTTATGATCTTACTGAGAAAAGATGGGCTTCTGATATCCAATATTTAAGACAAAATAAACATTTTGCCATTGGTACACAAATTGTGTATCATAATGCATTTCAGTGCCATTTGTAACAAAGGACAAGAAAAAATGAGGCTAGACATATTCCACAAGTATGTCAAACGGTGACCTCATATTCTTATCTGGAGAGAATACGCAATACTATCGGTGTAGACTGGAATAACCAGATGTTAAAGATTGCCAATCGACTGAGACTTCTGGCATATTTCACCGAACATAACTGATTTGAAGTTAGAGTAAAAATGGGAACGACTGAATGTAAATCAGTTTATATACATTCATAATACATTTGTGTCTATTTCTAGGTCTCAAAAATTAGCAATTTAGCTCCTTTAATGAATTGCAATCCATCAATGGACACCCGTTGTTATTACAAATTGACTCAATCTATGAACATCTCCACTGATACTGATAGGCAATAAAAATACATGTCACAGGACATTGTAATATAAGTCACAAAATCTGCTTATATCTTGCAGTTCAAAGGTCAGGAGTAAATGTTGATGTGATTAAATCGAGAAAAAACCTACCTTAAAGAATGTATCAGATTAAAACCTGGCATCTCATTAAGAAGAAATCCACCATCACTGTAACCAGTAACTAATAAATTATTAGCTTTATGAAAAGCAGCACAGGTCATTCGCACTGATCCAGATCGTAATTTTTGTCTGTGAAGGAAGAAAGTACATAAATATTTTCAGTTAAATATATTGACATAAAAAAAGATTAGTGCTAGTTTATATGATACAGGTAAGGGAAATTTAACCTACTTTTCTGTTCTTTCATACTTGACCATATCAACACCTTTTTTATTCATTTTTCCTGTAAAATACATATTAAATAATATAAAATATATCGTAATATAACCCTATTTTACTGACAAAAAAAAATAAAAGATCTGCCCCATGCTAACGTTTTGTATACAAAACTTTTAATACTGTATCATGGATTTAGCTGTTCCAAGTCATAAAAATTCATTGAAAATCAATATACTTGTTCGTCTCAAGATCTTAAACTCTGTGTATCAATCTGAAGTCAATCGGATATTAACCCAAGGGCCATAACTTTGGCAGTAATTATCAGAAATCTTTGAAAATCAATAGGATTATTCGCCTCGTGACCTCAAACACTGTGTATAAATTTAAAGTCAATCAGATATTAACTTTAGCCTTTAGAGCATCCACAAAGTTTTTTGAAGTGATCAAGGGCCATAACTCTGGCAGTAATTATCGAAAATCACTGAAAATGAATCGACTTCTTCGTCTCATGACCTTAAACACTGTGTATAAAATTTAAAGTCAATCGGATATTAACTTTAGACTCTAGAGCTTCCACAAGATTTTTCAAAATGATCAAGGGCCATAACTCTGGCAGTAATTATTGTAAATTGCTGAAAATCAATAGGATTCTTCGTCTCATGACCTTAAGCACTGTGTATAAATTTAAAGTCAATAGGATATAATAACTTTGGCCTCTAGAGAGTCCACAAGATTTTTTTGAAGTGATCAAGAGCCATGACTCTGGCAGTAATTATCAGAAATCACTGAAAATCAATAGGCTTCTTCGTCTCATGACCTTAAACGCTGTGTATAAATTTAAAGTCAATCGGATATTAACTTTTGCCTCTAGAGTGTCCACAAGATTTTTTGAAGTGATCAAGGGCCATAACTCTGGCAGTAATTATCGGAAATTGCTGAAAATCAATAGGCTTCTTCGCCTCATGACTTTAAACACTGTGTATAAATTTAAAGTCAATCGGATATTAACTTTGGCCTCTAGAGAGTCCACAAGATTTTTTGAAGTGATCAAGGGCCATAACTCTGGCAGTAATTACCGGAAATCGCTGAAAATCAATAGGCTTCTTCGTCTCATGACCTTAAACACTGTGTATAAATGTAAAGTCAATCGGATATTAACTTTGGCCTCTAGAGCGTCCACAAGATTTTTTGAAGTGATCAAGGGCCATAACTCTGGCAGTAATTATCGGAAATCGCTGAAAATCAATAGGCTTCTTCGTCTCATGGCCTTAAACACTGTATATAAATTTAAAGTCAATCGGATATTAACTTTAGCCTCTAGAGCGTCCACAAGCAATTGTGGACGCCGGACGGACGGACGGGGGCGACGACAATATACGACCACATTTCAATGTCGGCGTATAAAAATTAACTGGCCTTGTAGATCAGGCCGGTTTCTGTACAGAAGTGGATGTTTAATACGGTTAATTCAAACACAAAGAATAGCTTTGTTTATACTCCAATTGAAAGTATATATATAATGCAGTTCAAATATTTCAATCCCTGCATTGGCCGATTAAAATCAGGATTTTCAGGCGTGGGTTTCCCTTGTCAGTGGTGCAGGACGGAGGGCCTGACAAGGACAACTGTCTAGTCGTTCGGATGGCCGAAAAACCAAGGACCTGTGTATACATTGGCATGCATGTAGAAGATCACTTGGCAGTAGGAATTTGATAAAAGAGAACAGTAGGACATTAAACCCCATTTAATTTCATTTCATTTGCAGTTCAAGTAGGGAAGAAAATACATGACAATTCATGGAATATATTTCATGGCCATATTTGTTGAGTGATTTGTTTAGCAGAGTCCTAAATATTGAATTAGAAATAACCTTTCCTATTTCAAGGTTATCCCTTCCACTGGCATAATGTCTGAGAATATCACAATCATGCCTAAAATAACTAATATATACATGCATCAAGGCATGCCGAATATTACAATGTGGCGAAACTTTTATAAAACAATCTGTTGCAGTGGTCGCTTAAACAAAATGTTTGGTATTTATTGTGTAATAAACGGATTAACATTATATTTGTATATATATTTACCACTTTTCTTTTTAGCAGGTTTATCTGATCCTCCTACTGGTGCTAATTCTAGATCTTTTAATTCTTTATCAGATTCCCAAAATGAAGCTTTACAATCATCACTGACTGATAAAACCTGAGATTTGGTTAAAGATGTTCAATACATGTTGTACATCGTGTCAGGTATGACTTACTCTTTCTCAAATACCCAATATCACTTGCCCTTAAGTATATTTGCCCCGAGGAAGGTTAGCTACCAGCTTCAGATTTTCAGGTAAGTAAAGAACTAAAGTTCTACATTGTGATAAACTGATGTGCTTTTTGATTCCATTAGTGATGAGGGCAAGCTCTATAGGATTAGGTTGGGGTTTTTTTTTATCAATTTTAGTTTCATTTTTGCCTGACTGTGTGGATAGTGGAACACAATATAGGTTATATCTCAACACTGGCTTTAATGATATTTAAAACAGTTTTCAAGAAATAATCAAATTTTGTAGGTTTTTATCAGAATAAAAGGATACATTTAAAGAATTTGTCACAAAGAATGACCCAATAATGGCACCTTTATGACCTCCTAAAGTAAAGACAATTAAATTAGTAAACTTTTCTGCTCCATAAACTCTGGTATTCATATCTTTACTTCCTACACATATTGCACTGAAATATAAAATATATATTTACAGTTTATTTCTCTTCAAAAATGTACATCCCATAAATATTTTCTTCTAGTATTTTATCAACATCACTGGTATAATAGGATGGTTGAGTGCTCTAATGCATTCACTTTAGATCACCAGGTCTAACATTGAGTATAGTTGTCTGGTTTTAATCCCAAGCTTGTATATGACAAGGTCTGTCATTGAGTCAACTGGCGTGATTTCAATTCCCTGCTTGTACGTGGCAAGGAGTAGGGTCGCCTGTTTTCTCCTGGTTGTCTCCCATTGCTGAAGACTCCTATGCGCAAGCTAATCATCAAATAAAATTGTACCATATGTTAGTCCCGAATAGACATTTGGCCAGCTCTCATCATGCAGGGAATTGGGAATATCATCAACACTGAATCCAAATCAAACACAGAAAGCAATAAAACCTGACAAGACAGAGGATCCCTCTAATAAACTAAACTTATCTATACAGGGATGTTGTTTTGTACGTATATGCCGGACATACTACACGAGTACGGATAATGTCAGATCAAAAATTAAGATATGGTAAATCTTATTCAAAAGTAGGTAAGGATGTGAGAACGTAAGTAAGTAAGGACATATGGAAGTAAGTAAGTAAGTAAGTAAGTAAGTAATTATGGAAGGAAGGAAATAAGTAAGGAAGATTCTTAACACATGTCAACAGCCTGTGAACTAAGTATTTATAAATATTTTGTTGTATTAATATCACTGTGAATATATTTACCTTGAATCACTTGTCCAATCTATACACGTTGTTTCATCATAAGCACCGTGAAATTTCTTATAAATAGTAAATGGGTTAAATTCTCTCGTTCTCCCTGGAGCGTGAAATATGTCCACCATGTTTTCTCGAGTAACAGCAAATTTTCTGGAAAACATCAAAACACCATTAACACTAATTTCAATTTGTTTTATGATTTCTATGTCACTATATAAGATGACCAATGTCAAAATATAATCTAAATCCCTCCTCCCACAACCCACCCTAGATCCTTTTAAATCCTATAGGTTATGAATATGTACAGTATTTGACAGTTTGTTTCCGTTAAGAGGAGTTTCCAAAAGGCAGAAGTGGATCTTCACGCTTTCTGCTCAATGACATAAAGAGGCAGACAACAACTAGAAGAGATACGTGTAACTATTGATTAATAACAACTTTTGATCGAAAAATGAACCAACTATCGACAGCTCCGAAGACCAAAGGGAGACAACTAACTTATCGCAGATTCCAGACAAAAGTCAACACTAAATCCCTAATAAAGTTGGTGATTAACTACTATGAACATTTGTTAAATCATTTAAAAATAATAACTAGAAAGGCATGAAAAAAACAAAAAAACATTTCTATCTCATGGGTAACATGTTGTACATCATGACTAAAACACTAATCCAAATTTTTATCTCGAAACAAAAACAGATTTGAGCAGTAACCACACAAGTATTCCATGTTCATACTTACTTGCCATTTGGACTGAATTTAACACAATGTATTGGTCTGTGAAAATTGTGTGTTCCTAGTATACTCTTACTGATTAAACTACATAACATCGCTTCACCATCTAAAATTATAAATAATTAACATATACATCTACAATATCAACAATACTAAACTCTGATATATCTTTAATTCATTTCTGTCAATTTAAAGCTGAATGTCAGAGACTGGAATTTACGATTAAAGTTGACATTCAGTGGCAGTAACAATGAATGGATGAATGAATGGAGTTTAACGTCCTATTTTTCTGCTCTGACTGTACATACCCCATTCAGTGTTATGCTATGAGAGAAAGTTTGTCTGGGCAGCAATTGGATTCCAACTGTCAAAGGATTTTTTTTCATACTATCCAAACAATTAAATGGTATTCTTTGCTACACCATCCGTCCGGCACCCTGATATGGTGAATCCCCGCTAGAAAATCCTGCGAAACTTTCTTAGCCAAAACCAAGACCGAACCGTCCTGGTTAACGAGATATAGCGTCTTACTCACTGAGCCACCGAGACACCTGCACCAGAAACAAGGGTAGTACAGATATGTTTTATGGGTAGTCTAGATTAATAGGTAGTATTATAAACTAGTATGTACCATTGGAGACGGCTATCATAGTATAACCATCAGGAGAAAGTGTAACATGGGATATATTCTGTTTAGCTTCTATTGGTAATGTTTCTGATTTATTACTGAAAAACAAACAAATATATAACACTGATCAATAAAAACAAACACTCATATTCCGGCCTGGAAATAACAGTTTTAGATGTAGCTGAAAAAATGTCAGGCACTAATGAAATAGTACCGGACGTTTTCAACTTAGAGCCGGACATGTATTAATCATATCAATAAAAAAGACAAATCAGTGCCAGACAAAATGACAGGCGCCAGAGGTTTGGTGCCTGACAAAGCCTGAATCTGTGCCTAACATTGTCTGTGAGAGGTGCCTTATTTCCAGGCTTGCTCATATTTAGAAAATCTTTAGTAAATATATAAAAATAATGTGTAACTAGATTCGGAATTCACAACAATATACTAAAAATACTAGTATGTTATACTAATGTATCGGTGAGCCCTACTACTTGACAGCCATGTTCCATGTCATCCCCAAAGGCGCCACTACAAACGAAGCAGAACACGGCTTGCAAACTTTCATTTTACTAAATGTGTATTATCTGATTAAGGCTGTCAAAAAAATATTGCTATATCGATATATTGCAATACGAAAATCTGCAATACACTGTATCGATACATTTTTGCCGTATCAATATTTTTCCACTTTTATATTCAAATGTTTAAGAAAGACTGTTTATAAAGACTTCATAATCAGTCATATTATTTAGGCTTTGCAGTAAACAATAAGTCAGCTAAACCAAGACCAAAAGTTATAAAAACAAATAAAGTGAAATTCATATTCACTAATCAGTCATGTTATAGGCTTTGCAGTAAAGAGAGAGAGAGAGAGAGAGAAATGGGGTTTAACGTCCACTCGACACAAACTAGGTCATTTCAGGACTAACATATGGTTTAATTTTATTTCAATAATTCGCTTGCGCGTAGGGGACTTTAGCAGTGGGAGGAAACCAGAGGATCCGGAGAAAACCCACGAGGTTGGACAGGCAACCCTACTCCTTGTCACTTACAACCGGGGATTCGAAACCACGCCAGTCGACTCAATGACAGACTTTATGATACAGCGCACGCACGCTAACCATTCAGCCATCAAACCCCCGCTTTGCAGTAGACAATAAGTGTCTAAGACAAAAGTGTTTTACAAACATCTTCATATGCCTGTAGCTACATAGTATGGTATATATACATACTTTCTTAAATCAAAGATAGTCAATCTGTTTCCAACTGGACTAATAATACTGTTACCATCTGGTGTAAAATTAAGATTACCATTTTTATAAACTGTACCTAGCAGGTTGGAAAACTGAAATAGAAATATGAAAAAAGTTTTGCAATCAATGGACATAAATTTGTGCAGAATTTTAAACAATTTATTTCAAGGCATTTTATGTGTTCTTTTGTTGTGGTCAAATACTCTTGGTTGAGTATGGAAGCTTTTCTGGACGGTCAACTGGCACTGATACGTCTTTGACAAACTAATTTATTTATCCATTTTAGAAATATACAAACTGTCGATATTGGTACCATTATACAGTCCAGACATCATTATTATTGAGAAAAATAGTGGTTTGTCAGACAAATAAATAATAGAGAAATAATCCACTAAAGAAGGGAACACCAATTACCAGTAGTAGCAATACCTTTAGAATGGTTGAATTAGGTACAATGCCAGCACCTTCCAAAATAACCAGAGTTCAAACTGAAGAAGCAAACAGGTGGATGGACAGACGGACGGACAGATAGACAGTGGGGACGAAAATGAGCACCCCTGTATTCTAGTAAAATCTGAATTCAAATTCGACAAGGAACTTATCATTGGATACTTAGAATCGGAAGGGTGGGGGGACAAATAGGTCTCTGTCCCCCCCCCCCATGATTTTGATCGTCAGGACAGATTTTCAGGTTTATATCCACATGATGGTGAGCTTGTTTCTATGTATCTGGAACTGAATCGGGACTTGGAACAAGAATTGCCCTTCTTCATGCGCCAGTTTTCGGCCAAATCTATTTCACTTGTGCATGAAGCGTTCCTCAGTATGTCACCTGAAGTGAGGCAGATATTCCCTTCTGTCAAAGCTCTTCTCCGTCTCATACTTCTGAACCTTGCTAGTTCCTGCTCAGCCGAGCGATCCTTCAGCACTCTGCGTCGTATCAAAACATGGCTGCGCAACCCTGTGACGCAAAACCGACTGAGCCACTTGATAGCGTGTGTGGTGCATAATGACCCCCTTCATGTCGCCAAGATATTCAAAGAGAACAGTCCTGATCGTAGAATGGACGATTCACTTAACTTCATGAACAATTAATATTTGTGCAGCCTAAAAGTAATGACAAATCCCTTGCATCAAAATAATGCAAAATATTGGTGCCAAAATACATTCACTTTATTTTTTTTTGAATTGTTTGTTTGTGTTTTTCTGAATATGATGTCTTGCCCATGTATTTGTTTTTGTGTAAATTTTGTGTGGTGCAGTCCGCCTGCACTTACTATAAGAATTAAAACGCCATTTGTATGAAGCAACTCGATGAACGAAGCTAAACATAACCCATGTAGGAGAATACTACCGGTGTAGACTGGAATAACCAGATGCCAAAGACTCCTATTCAATTCACAATCCCATTTCGCCGAACATAACTGGTTAGAAATTACATTACAGTAAAAACAGAAACGACTGAATGTAAATGTAAATTATGCCAATGCAGATAGAATTCTATAAGTTCCATACTATCAGACTTTTTCTTAATAAAATTTGTTGCTCCGTTCCAAAGGTTAATTGTCTTGATCTACTATATGCCACAGTTTAAATAATCTGGGTCTGAATCCATACGATATAAACATCCATTCCCTATAAATTGTGAGCATATTAGTTCCTTTTTGGTGCTTTTGCTTTTTCAAACCTGACCTCCCCGTGGTCACAGAGGCTTGACATTTTCGTCAATTGATTCAATCAAAAACTTTTAAAAAATTTTGGGACAAAATAACATATTTGGCTAAACTGTAATACTGCTGTGGCTACACCATTGCCATATACTATATGGATGGATGGATATAAAATTAACAATAAATACTGTGGTAGTGTACATTATTAAATATGAAATTGTATAATAATTTGGTGTGCTACATCGATCATAAGACCTTTGTTGAGTTAAAACATACTGATCATCATTATCAGGAATCAGATATATATTCTGGATAAATGTTTAGATTAGTAGTTAAGTCTTTAAAGGAGCTAAATCGCTAACATTTGGGACCTAGAAATTCACAAAAGTGGGTCGCAACGCATATAATACTGTAATATGAATGTATATAAACTGATTTACATTTAATGGTTTCCGTTTTTACTCCAATTTCAAATCAGTTATGTTCGGCGAAATAAGTCAGCAATCTCAATCGAGTGCAAATGAGCACCCCTGTATTCTAGTAAAATCTGAATTCAAATTCGACAAGGAACTTATCATTGGATACTTAGAATCGGAAGGGTGGGGGGACAAATAGGTCTCTGTCCCCCCCCCCCATGATTTTGATCGTCAGGACAGATTTTCAGGTTTATATCCACATGATGGTGAGCTTGTTTCTATGTATCTGGAACTGAATCGGGACTTGGAACAAGAATTGCCCTTCTTCATGCGCCAGTTTTCGGCCAAATCTATTTCACTTGTGCATGAAGCGTTCCTCAGTATGTCACCTGAAGTGAGGCAGATATTCCCTTCTGTCAAAGCTCTTCTCCGTCTCATACTTCTGAACCTTGCTAGTTCCTGCTCAGCCGAGCGATCCTTCAGCACTCTGCGTCGTATCAAAACATGGCTGCGCAACCCTGTGACGCAAAACCGACTGAGCCACTTGATAGCGTGTGTGGTGCATAATGACCCCCTTCATGTCGCCAAGATATTCAAAGAGAACAGTCCTGATCGTAGAATGGACGATTCACTTAACTTCATGAACAATTAATATTTGTGCAGCCTAAAAGTAATGACAAATCCCTTGCATCAAAATAATGCAAAATATTGGTGCCAAAATACATTCACTTTATTTTTTTTTGAATTGTTTGTTTGTGTTTTTCTGAATATGATGTCTTGCCCATGTATTTGTTTTTGTGTAAATTTTGTGTGGTGCAGTCCGCCTGCACTTACTATAAGAATTAAAACGCCATTTGTATGAAGCAACTCGATGAACGAAGCTAAACATAACCCATGTAGGAGAATACTACCGGTGTAGACTGGAATAACCAGATGCCAAAGACTCCTATTCAATTCACAATCCCATTTCGCCGAACATAACTGGTTAGAAATTACATTACAGTAAAAACAGAAACGACTGAATGTAAATGTAAATTATGCCAATGCAGATAGAATTCTATAAGTTCCATACTATCAGACTTTTTCTTAATAAAATTTGTTGCTCCGTTCCAAAGGTTAATTGTCTTGATCTACTATATGCCACAGTTTAAATAATCTGGGTCTGAATCCATACGATATAAACATCCATTCCCTATAAATTGTGAGCATATTAGTTCCTTTTTGGTGCTTTTGCTTTTTCAAACCTGACCTCCCCGTGGTCACAGAGGCTTGACATTTTCGTCAATTGATTCAATCAAAAACTTTTAAAAAATTTTGGGACAAAATAACATATTTGGCTAAACTGTAATACTGCTGTGGCTACACCATTGCCATATACTATATGGATGGATGGATATAAAATTAACAATAAATACTGTGGTAGTGTACATTATTAAATATGAAATTGTATAATAATTTGGTGTGCTACATCGATCATAAGACCTTTGTTGAGTTAAAACATACTGATCATCATTATCAGGAATCAGATATATATTCTGGATAAATGTTTAGATTAGTAGTTAAGTCTTTAAAGGAGCTAAATCGCTAACATTTGGGACCTAGAAATTCACAAAAGTGGGTCGCAACGCATATAATACTGTAATATGAATGTATATAAACTGATTTACATTTAATGGTTTCCGTTTTTACTCCAATTTCAAATCAGTTATGTTCGGCGAAATAAGTCAGCAATCTCAATCGAGTGCAAATGAGCACCCCTGTATTCTAGTAAAATCTGAATTCAAATTCGACAAGGAACTTATCATTGGATACTTAGAATCGGAAGGGTGGGGGGACAAATAGGTCTCTGTCCCCCCCCCCCATGATTTTGATCGTCAGGACAGATTTTCAGGTTTATATCCACATGATGGTGAGCTTGTTTCTATGTATCTGGAACTGAATCGGGACTTGGAACAAGAATTGCCCTTCTTCATGCGCCAGTTTTCGGCCAAATCTATTTCACTTGTGCATGAAGCGTTCCTCAGTATGTCACCTGAAGTGAGGCAGATATTCCCTTCTGTCAAAGCTCTTCTCCGTCTCATACTTCTGAACCTTGCTAGTTCCTGCTCAGCCGAGCGATCCTTCAGCACTCTGCGTCGTATCAAAACATGGCTGCGCAACCCTGTGACGCAAAACCGACTGAGCCACTTGATAGCGTGTGTGGTGCATAATGACCCCCTTCATGTCGCCAAGATATTCAAAGAGAACAGTCCTGATCGTAGAATGGACGATTCACTTAACTTCATGAACAATTAATATTTGTGCAGCCTAAAAGTAATGACAAATCCCTTGCATCAAAATAATGCAAAATATTGGTGCCAAAATACATTCACTTTATTTTTTTTTGAATTGTTTGTTTGTGTTTTTCTGAATATGATGTCTTGCCCATGTATTTGTTTTTGTGTAAATTTTGTGTGGTGCAGTCCGCCTGCACTTACTATAAGAATTAAAACGCCATTTGTATGAAGCAACTCGATGAACGAAGCTAAACATAACCCATGTAGGAGAATACTACCGGTGTAGACTGGAATAACCAGATGCCAAAGACTCCTATTCAATTCACAATCCCATTTCGCCGAACATAACTGGTTAGAAATTACATTACAGTAAAAACAGAAACGACTGAATGTAAATGTAAATTATGCCAATGCAGATAGAATTCTATAAGTTCCATACTATCAGACTTTTTCTTAATAAAATTTGTTGCTCCGTTCCAAAGGTTAATTGTCTTGATCTACTATATGCCACAGTTTAAATAATCTGGGTCTGAATCCATACGATATAAACATCCATTCCCTATAAATTGTGAGCATATTAGTTCCTTTTTGGTGCTTTTGCTTTTTCAAACCTGACCTCCCCGTGGTCACAGAGGCTTGACATTTTCGTCAATTGATTCAATCAAAAACTTTTAAAAAATTTTGGGACAAAATAACATATTTGGCTAAACTGTAATACTGCTGTGGCTACACCATTGCCATATACTATATGGATGGATGGATATAAAATTAACAATAAATACTGTGGTAGTGTACATTATTAAATATGAAATTGTATAATAATTTGGTGTGCTACATCGATCATAAGACCTTTGTTGAGTTAAAACATACTGATCATCATTATCAGGAATCAGATATATATTCTGGATAAATGTTTAGATTAGTAGTTAAGTCTTTAAAGGAGCTAAATCGCTAACATTTGGGACCTAGAAATTCACAAAAGTGGGTCGCAACGCATATAATACTGTAATATGAATGTATATAAACTGATTTACATTTAATGGTTTCCGTTTTTACTCCAATTTCAAATCAGTTATGTTCGGCGAAATAAGTCAGCAATCTCAATCGAGTGCAAATTTCTAGCGTCTAGTTATTCTAGTCTACATAATTCCATTTGATTTGGTGCAATGTGTCTAGCCTCGTCCCTCGAGTCTCTCAATACAACTGGGGCTGAAGCACATTATGGTACACGATTCGTGTACCAATGTTAAAAAAATTATTTGATCTTAAATATCGGATATCAGAAGCTCATCTTTTCCCGATAAGTTTACATCATCAATGTTGATTTAAATTGACCAATAATTCGTGTTTTCGACGTCGAAGATTTTGGAGGATTTTGAGTTACGGACTTAGGTCCTTTAACTTATAAAAGATACAAGTCTGTCTGACTCTGAGGGGCCCAAAATGAAAAACTAGAAATATTACGCTAAATCCCTTTTTGTTGTACAGTCACACTGATCATACCACACGGATCACATTCGGGCTACACTTACCCTGTAAGCGAATTTCATGATTAAGTCAAAAAGGGATCAGCAGTGCTGAATTGTTAATTCAAATAGTCACTGTTTACATAAATATAATTTGGCAAACTACGGTCCATCACAACATGCTTATTTCAACCACGTGAAACCATTACCTAACCAAAATGTTAAAATCCTGCTGATTGGTTAGCTATCTTTCATATGACGAATGAAATCTCGTGACTCAGGGGCACCTGTTGGCGTAGCAGTCACATGATCATATGACAATTTCATTATTCGCCATCTTGCGTGGAAGAACAGAGGAGTAGCATTAACTAAATCAATTATATTTATTTTTCTGGTTTACTTTTATTCTTTTACATCATAAAAATGGCCGAATTCAATGCAGACGCACCTCCATACACATCTTTTTTTGGAGTAATGGGTGTTACATCCGCCATGGCGTTTTGTGGTGAGTATCGGAATCGGCTTGCTGTCATTTTCTCTGAATCTGAAGCCACCATCACTATCGTATCGATCAGAATTGAATATGTAATGTACATATCCTTCAAAATGAGCTCCATTTTCGGTACTGTGAGGAATTAGTGTACATTTATGATAACTGATCATACGATTTTATTGGTTTAAAACAGAATTATGTACAAAATGAAACCATAATGAAAGATTGGAGTTATGTCCGTCACCTATAAAAGATCAAACGTATTTACGGTATTTGACACTCGATCATTCATTCATTCATTAATTCATTCAGTGTGTACCGGCTTACTACTGGAAGTTGATGCTTATAAATTATAGAAAACATACGTTTTAATGCTGTTCTAGATCCTAGTTAGGTTTATTTAGGGAATATTTGATCATATCTTATGATGTTAATGTAGTGAATAAAATGGGCCATGTCATCATGCAGTGAGTTGGTCATGTGATTATTACTTACCACTTACATAAATTATCAAATAGGCCTAGCTAGATGAAAGATAACCATAATCAGAATTTAAATACAAAGTTTTCAGATCATTATAGTAACCACATATTCAGTTAATATTACCTGCACATTGTCATGCACATTTACTAGTTTTGTATCAAAATTAACAAGCATATATTTGTGTTTTCAAAAGTTGTGTTCAATATACAATCATGGAGGCAGGGATAAAATTTAACATTAATTGGCTTAATGTGAGGAGGTTATATAAATTTATTAAGGAATAAATAATTAAATCGAATGTTTATTGTGTAATTTGTGTAAGCCAACTAAATTGTAAAGCTGTATCCTGCTGAAGTAATACTAAGGCCTACATGTATGTTATAGATTTTCTTTTTGGTCTAAAATCAAAATTTAATAAATATTTACATTTTAGTGATTACAGTAAAATGTAACCTTATATGTACCGTATTTTAAAAAAACAAAACTATATGAAATAAACTTGAATAGACATCTGCTGTAGGTCTATTCTTTCTCAGATGTTTTGTCGAATACAAATCTTAATGAATCAAGAACTGTAATATTTGAGTCTGGAGGGGGTTGTTAATTCAGTGTCATTTTGTCCATGATTGGCATACATGTGTCAACCGTTGATCTTTCACTCACATTGAATCATAATTACATCATTGAAATAGACATTATCAGAATATTAGTTTTAGAGAAATGTTTTTTTCTGAGTTTTATTTTGCGACCCAGTGTGCTGTGGAAGAAAGACATTGCTGATGTGCTCAAAACTGAGGGTACTTTGTATCTATTCCATTTTAATGATGTTCAAAATTTCTTTCTTTTCAGCCTTGGGAGCTGCTTATGGAACAGCTAAATCTGGTACTGGTATCTCAGCTATGGCTGTTATGCGACCAGAATTAATTATGAAATCCATTATTCCAGTTGTCATGGCTGGTATTATTGCTATTTATGGTCTTGTAGTAGCTGTTGTAATTACACAGAATATCACCAATGATAGTTCTTACACATTATATAAGTAAGTCATTCTTCCATTTTGATACATAATTTATAATTGAGAAACTTATAACAAATACGTCGAGGGTGTCCATTTGGCTACAAGTATCGGTAAAAAGCTCAAGTTTTTTTGGGTTGTATGGCCAAATGGTTAACGCGTGCGTGTTCAATCATACGGTCGGTCATTGGGTCAACTGGTGTGGTTTCGATTCCCCGGTTGTACGTGACAAGGACTGAAGGAGTAGGAAGTCTGTCCAACCTCATGGGTTTTCTCTGGGTCCTCTGGCCGAAATGACCTAGTTTGTGTGATGGGAGTTACCCCCCCCCCTCTCTCTCTCTCCATTTCTCACTCTCTAAAAGTTTTGTCCTTATTTCAAATAAGATTGAATAATAAGTTTACATTCAGGCCATTAAGTTCAATTTGTGTTATGGCTTTCCTTTTAATATTTTTATTCATGGCTAATCATGGGATCTGTGGTGACTCCGTAAATCTTGACAAATATTAGGATTTCGTAAATTATTATTCTTGTTGTCTTGGTTACATGTACTTAGATACAAGATCCAACATAACACTTTAAAAAATAACATGTGATAAGAATAAGAATGAAATCACCATTACATGTATATAACACACAGTAATAAAGTGCTTTACTAATTACATGTACATGTAGATGTTCCCTCAGTAAATTTCTTGTGGGTTTTCTCCGGTTTCCTCCCACTGCTAAAGACCCCTATGAGCAAGCGAATAATTGAAATAAAATTGAACCATGTGTTAGTCCAAAAATGACTTAGTTTGTGTCAAGTGGACGTTAACCCCATTTCTCTCCCTCTCCAGTCATTTTATGGTAAATTTACATACAGTACCTGTTATTGACCTCATTCTGAATTGGGTGTCATGTCATAGCCGACGCAGGAGATACTTTCTTAAATAGGTGTATGCGTCACACCCGCATGTATTAAGCTTTTTTTTTTCTTTCTTTTTTTTTTGTTCATTGGCTTTTTCTTTCCTTGTTATTCACTTTGAAGACACATTAGACATTAATTTGAAACTTAAGTTTGTTTCATGATACCAATATTGATACGTTGAAGAAAGGGAAAATCCAGAAAGTTTAGTTTTTGGCTATGGCTCTTTAACATTGGTATCATTCTGTGACTTTTTTGGACAAAGTTTTTAACTTGGGTATGATAATTGAAGTATACAGAATATGATTTGAAGTTCCATTAGCTGACACATATATTCAAGAGAACTAAATATAAATGTTTAAAATGAAATAGTTATATGTAGGTCAACTTTAATAATTTTAGATGTATAGATAAAGCTGATGTCAAGATTAAACCTAATTTTACACAGTAGGCCAAAAAGGAAACAAGACAATATCCGCTTGATGGATGTCTCAAAACAAAAATATAATACTACAGATCTTGACCCATAAAATAGCACATTAGGTCAACCCAATCCAGGCCCTAAGTTCACAAAGCATTCTCAGACTTAAATTAAGAATTTACTCAACTTTCAATCACTGTTTATGAGAAATACCTTAGATCCAGAAACACAGAACTTTAGCATATAGTTTCTTATTGATGTATTTAATACATTTAAGCAACAAAAGCATTATAAATGGCTATATTTCAGTTAAAATAAGGCCAGTACTTTTTTTAACTAAATGATAGATGTTTAGCGCCTTTAAGCTTACAGTGATAGATATTATGCACCCATTATTGAAATTACCACTAGTGTTTGGTTCAGTATACATGAAGATGAGATTTCAATTTGTGCATAGTTTGATAAAAGTTCATTTAGTTTACTTTAAAAATATTATTATTAATGTGTACTTATTCTATTTGCAGGAGTTTTCTTCATCTTGGAGCTGGATTAAGTGTAGGTTTGAGTGGATTAGCAGCTGGTTTTGCTATCGGTATAGTAGGGGATGCTGGTGTGCGTGGTACTGCTCAACAACCTAGGTTATTTGTCGGCATGATTCTCATCCTTATTTTTGCTGAAGTATTGGGTCTGTACGGACTTATTGTTGCCCTTATTTTGTCTGTCAAACAGTGATTACATTCGTTATTTAGTTATAAATTAAACAAGAATATGGTAATGATGAGAGGAAAGACGATTCTAAATCTATATGTGTAACGGGTCTACTTTCATCTCGTTGTTCCTGTTGACTTTGTTAATATAGAAAGCTTTATAAAGTTAACACCTTCCCTGCTTTCTAAATTAACTACCATCATGCTTTATGGTTCATAAGACAGCTTGGTTCTAATAAACTATCAATTTATTCTTACTAAACACGCTAGAGGGTTGAAATTCCTTTATTATTTAAAACTGGTGATACTAATATTACATTAACCAAATGTGTGTGTTGTGAACCATAAAGATTGATTATTATTATTATTATTTAGAACAAATTTATTCAATACGACAATGAGTTAAAAAGAAATAAACAACCGCCAGTGATTAAGGCATTGAATAATATATGTACATGTTGACCTAGAATATGTATATATCCGTCATTCTTGTAAGTAAATTTCCTTTTGTTTTTCAAGTCATGTATGATTGTATTTTTTTTTTGTGTGTACTATGTTAATTAGTGATGTGTGAGGACTTGTCACACAGGTGTTAATGTAATAATTAATTTGAGCACTTTGCCAAACTTCATAATATAAACTAATGTTATTTAATAATAATTTTGGATCCAGATAAGATAATAAAAGTTTAAGAGCTTTTTATGTACAACTTGCCTCTGTCTAATATTAGTGCTCGTACACATAGGAGCGCATATTATGATATTAATTCTTATAAACCGACCTACTTGATCTAATATTTTGATATTAACTCTTATATCTTACGTGTGACTTGGTATCACACATTAGATACATGATCTAATATTTTATAATCTTGAATGATATAGGCTATATTTGCCTCCTACACAATGGCTACATGTACATGTATACCCAGCATTTACCAATGTACAAGTAAATTAATTGTAAATACAAAGTCTTTAAATCAATGGATTTACTTTAAAAAATTATTAAATAAAGAAATTGGGGGATTTAATGTTTTTACTTTTTTTGTTAATTGATCATTATTTCGTAGCTTGATTCATCCTCGTGCATCATGTCTTTATTATGTTGAAAAATGGGAAAACCAGACTTTAATAAGGAAAGTGTTTTGTATGTAGTTTCGAACAGGTAGATTCAACCGTACATGTAACATTCCATCTAAACACTGTGCTAAATTTATTTTGTTTGTGTGATCGATACATGGTAGATTTATTGAATTATTAAATCATAGGATAGTAAATATTGTAAGTATTGTTATTTTATGTACAGATTGATTGTAAATTGTTTCTTGATGCATGCAACAAACTTTTTCAACGCATTCAAGATGGCGAATCATGAATTTTTAACCAGAACCACACATAAAAATGTCAAAATTTAAAGAGACAGTATCAGTCATGTTTTTAAAATATTCTGAATTGGTTAGCCTCTGCCGGTTTTATTATTGTGATGTGTTATAATAATAGAATTGGTAGTGTGGTTATTTAAACTTACTGCTCAGATAATATATTATGTAGATATAGAGATTTATGTTTGTGTTTTAGAACACAACATGTACAATGTATTATGTTCATTGTAATTAAATAAATATCATAATCTAATAATCATTTCTCTTGTTTTCTTTAAAATATATACATTTCTTCTAGAATCCTATTACTTATGAGTTGCGAGTTTAGAATACTGATAGTTGCGAGTATGTTCAATTCGTTTTGTTTTTATAGTTCAAAATTTTGTTTTACTTGTCTTTACTACTGGAGGATCTGGATGAGTTGTATAACCAGCTTTCTGATTGATGTAAAGAATTAATCAATGAAACTTTCTGTTACGATGAGTTCTTGCGTATTGTGCACTGAACTGTGGGTAAACAACTAGAAACATGAACGCTGATTGCTTAATCAAATGTCTGATGTCAGAGGGTCAAAAGCCGCTCGTATGACCTGGTAGTAGAGGCCATCAAAAGTATAAAAAAAATGAAACGAAATATAGATCTGTACTTTTATCAGATTGCATGTAAAGGAAAATTGAGAGAGGAATGGGTGGAAATGCTGCTGTCATAGCACAACTAAAAGGAATATTGTCCTGGATAAAGAAAGCATGATTGTGTATACAGTGTCAAGGGTCATACTGTGATATATATAGTTCCGGATTTACTTATACTTTTGACTTGCCCTTCCCTTAAGATTATGACCTGAACATCTAGGGGTACTCCGACAAAGGTGTATATTTTTTCCACTGTTTTAAGAGAGGTAAATGTCCACTCAACACAGACATTTTAGGACTAACATGGTTCTATTTTATTTCAATAATTTGCTTGCACGTAGGGGTCTTTAGCAGTGGGAGAAAACCCACAAGGTTGGACAGACGACCTTACTCAAGTACAGACGTGGAATAAAAAACCATGCCACTTGACTCCATCAGATCTTATGATTCAACACAGCAGGCCGGATTTACCAATAGCATATTGGCCTAGAACTCGCTGAAACTAGTTTGTCATGCAGCTGGCCAGCCTATAATATTAAAGTGTATACCAAGTATTTGGGGTCCCACTGATAAGTTTGGCCTAGGGTCAACATGTAGGTAAATCCAGTTAGTTGAATGTAAATTAGATATGAAATATAGCCTGTAGAGCGTCAGTGTGACGTCGGTATACATTTCAATGTGGGCATATAAAAAAGCAAATATTTGGCCGATTTTAAGTTTGGATCCATTGCAAATTATTGGGGTTAGGAGCTAGGGATGATTGTGCAGCCATTGTCTAGGACCAGATATTCCCAGTATGCTTAGAAAATAACTGGTAAAGTTGGTTTATCAAGATATACTTCATTCAGAAGTTATTTCAGGTCAGGTATTACTTCTGAACTCCAGACTCAGAAAGCAGTAATTGTAGTTTAGCTAATTGATCAAAGCAGTTTGACTTATAGCAATAAGAAGCTTTTATCGTGTCTGCTTCACACTGAGATGATGAGATCTATCACACTGGCTTTCTGGTTTAACAACTATACTTGTCAAAATATGGCTAAATGAAAGAAAAAAGTCATATTTTATTTCTAAAGGTATTGTATTTATTGATGGATATGAAAGAATACAATAGCACAATAGAAGATAAATTATATTATAAAATTGTTTAAGTGACCATTAAGGCAGAATGTAGATGTCCACCATCAAGATAGAAACCTTGCATGTCATTAGATGACCACCATCAAGACAAATACAAATCCCACTCGTTATAAATCTTATTATTTTCTATATGACTACACCTACATAGGATCCTTGCAATATACACTATATTTTAGTTTACTAAAAGATGGTTGATAGTTCAGTGTTTCTCCAGTGCTTTCTCCAGTAAATTATTCAATCTCCCAACCATTGTACGTGGATCATCTATCAAACCTGCTGTTATCATGGCATTTTCATATAACTGAAATTATTTAGAAATAATCATTATTAGTTATATGCTAAAACAAAATTATTAGACTGGATTCAAACAAATCACACACTTAAAGCAAACCAGCATTTTTATTATACGCCCATTGAAAGACAAGATTGCCAGACAACAAAACATACAAACCACAGCCGCTAATTTATCCCAGCTATCAATAATGGTAACATTATAATTACCACATTCAAACCAAACACGAAACTTTTCTACTTATAAGCACATAATATTTCAAAGTTAGGTTGCCAGGCAACGAAACATACACCCACAGCAGCTAAATCATCCGGGCGGTCAACAAGATGTCCAGCCAGATACACCATTAATTTTCTGAAATTTTAATTCTATAGGCCTAATTGTCTATGGATGATAATTGATGTCTCTAAAATCTTCAACACAAGATTCTACTAAGTAGAGTAACTCTAAAAACAATTATTGGAAAAAATTTAAATGTAGTAGGTCTTGTCCTAATAACTGAAACAAAGTCTTTTTGCATGTGCATTCAGAAGTATTTGTGGATGAATCGTGGTGACGACAGTATGTATTCACATTTTTGCAGGGATGTAGCTTGCAAGTCTTTCAACAAATTGTTATAAATTGATAAATTAGATATTGATTTAAAAAACCCATTTATATTCAATTATTAACTCCCAATAGCCCTAAGTGTAACATCCAAGTTTGTACATTTAAATATATTCCTTATTAGTAATACCTCACTTATAACATTGGTAAGAATATATAGACTATATCAATCTGTTTTTATAATCTTAAAAAACAACTTAAGTAACCTTTCATTCACAACTTAATGAATATAGAAATCAGGTTAATTCTCAGTTGTATACTGAACTAATGATGTCAATGATGTAATATAGAGTAAAAATAGTACAAGTTTTTATATTACAATAACCACCCAAATTGTTGGCTTGACATTGTGTATTACTTACTTTCACATGATTATGATGTAATCACTTATAGATTACCTGTATTAAAGATGCATAATGTAAGATTTAGATAAAAACTAGATAATGAAAAGGGAATATGTTGAAAATTTTAGTCAATTTACTTCCTTCTGAGTGACAGAGTCTCGATTGTCATTGATACTGTTGTTACAATAGTACACAAAGTCTTGATTATCTAGTTTTTAATTAAATCATTAACCACCAATTGTGCTTAAATTCGTTGAAAATCTAGAGCATCCGATTATGGTCTTGGCAAGTTAATAAGTTAAGGCCTAAAGAAAGACCTGCAAAAGGCAGATTTAGCTCTTGCAGAATGTATGTTTAAGTAACTCAATTGTACAGTAATATACTTGCCTTTCTAACTTTCTAAAGGGGCAGACACAACCAGTTCACAAAGCTTTCTCAGACGTAAGTTAAGAAATTACTCAAAATTGTTCGCCTTATTTTAACTAAAATATAGCCCTTTATGAAACTTTGTTGTTTTAATGTATCAAATACATCAATAAGAAACTATCGGTATGTACAAAGTTTTGTGATGATGCATTAAAGATATTTCTCAAAAACAGTGATTTAAAGTTAAGTTCCTAACTTACGTCTTGGAATGCTTTGTGAACTTGGGGCCAGAAATGACCCAACTTACTGAAGAAATCAGTTATTGTTAACAACTAAAATTGTGAGGTACACATTACTTTCACCTCAATGAAACTGAGAGGGGATATTAGTTTGATACTAACTATATACACTACATGTAACTATATACACTACATGTAACTATGTAGCTATATACATTACTACATGTAACTATATAACTATATACACTACATGTAACTATATACACTACATGTAACTATATAGCTATATACATTACTACATGTAACTATATACACTATATGTAACTATATAGCTATATACACTATATGTAACTATATACACTACACTATATGTAACTATATAGCTATATACACTACATTTTTTAGCTGATCACTTATGTTACAGCTTGCACATCATATGTGAACTTTTAAAGCAGAGGGAATTTGTCGACTGTCATATTGCTTAAGTGGCATTTACCCAATAGACTTAAATTCTATTTAACAGGATGAATCAGGATAATCTTAAAGGGTTCAACTACAACTGGTTATATTAGCCTATAGGCAAGAGATTCAAGAGAAGTGTAGTCATAATGAATTCTCATTTTACCCCTTCCAAAGGGTATATATCTGGGATTAATTGGCCATGGGAATCAGCAAACTTCCCCAAACACCAAAAAAGTAATTTTAGGGTGGTCTAGATGTAATTAAAAGTATTTTCAGACAGCTTGTTAAAAAGTAACCTACAGCTATATTTCCTTTTATTTTTTATACTTTCAATGGCTTCCACTACATGAAGATCTGACTGGTTGTAGTAGAAGATTGTGTCAGTCATTTGATTAACCAATCAGCGTTGGTCTTCTATCGCTGCAAATGTCTACCCACAATTCTGTGCAATGCATGATAAGAATTTGACTCAACTGACCACTTGATTGGCTAATCCCTCACTTCACCCAGAACATGGGGTATTTAACAACTCTTCCCGATCCTGGTGTAGCGAAGACAAGTAAAACGAAATGAAATAAGATCTGTGTTTTAATCAGATTGACAGCTATGGTTACGTCACATTTCACATAAAATTATCTACATCCAGTATCTTCTGGTTAACATATGTTCTTATTATATTGAAAGATAGGTAAATTTTACCTACTGTAAGGTGAAGATCACCTTGTGTTAACTATGACTAGGAATACCTGGGTTGTCAGGTGGTTGATATAATTTCATCTTAATTCAAGTCTCTTTAACATTTATACACTATACCCACATTTATCAATCTCTTAGTTTTAAAGTTTAAACAACATTAAACAACAGACATGTATAAACTAGTCAGATGATTTCAGGTCATTTATATAATACAATACAGAAAAATTAATGATCTATATATTAATATCAGGTTATATATGACACAGTTCTCACAAAAAAAAACCTGTTAATGACTTGAGTTTCATATAAAGAGAAAAATGGGGATTAACGCCCACTCGACACAAACTAGGTCATTTCAGACTAACATATGGTTCAATTTTATTTCAATAATTTGCTTGCACGTAGGGGTCTTTAGCAGTGGGAGGAAACAGGAGGACCTGGAGAAAACCTGCGAGGTTAAAGACATAATTAGTATTCAGTGGACATTATAAATGAATCACTAATTTCAGACTAAATATCTGTACCATCCAAATGACAAAACACTTCCCTTGTCATCCTTAAAGTGTCCTAACCCCCAGCTCCCCTCCTCTCTGCTTTATGAACCCCTACCTAAGTTTTACATGTATCAATTCTATGAGAGACCAGGGTTTATTTTTAAAACACAAGATAAATTTGTCTATTTTCAACATGGAGAAGAGTTGTTTATTTATATCACTTGGTATGTGAGAAGTCAACGGCTACATGTCATTTGGTATTGACACACAGATCTAGTAAAATATTCTTTTTATTGTTAATCTTATTATGTTAAACCTGTATTCAAACACAAATAAAAAAATACCATAAAAACATTGACACCTTGAATTTAAAGTTGTTTAATTTCCTGTTGTGGCATAAAAAAAGTTAGGTCCAAAATAAAATGTTTAGTTTCCTTATTATATGGTCAATCTAATATAATTCTTAAACTTACAATTCTTAAACATAGAGCTAATCTGCCTATTGCACGTCTTTCTTTAGGCCTGAAATGTTATCTAAATTATTAATTAGACATTAATTAACATATCCAGACCATAATCAACTCTTGACGTTATCGCTAGCCTGCGATATTTACTGGATTAGGATCCGATCTGCTGCTCAACACTCATTCATGATTAAATCAAGAAATGGATAATAGAGACTTATTTTATCGTATCGACTTTAGTAATGATAATTCAGGCTAGGCCCAAAATTCAATCGCTAAATTCTTGGTTCAGAGTGGATATATTTGACTAAAATTTCAACCTTACCGTTATCTAGTTTTTAACTATTATAGTGAGAACTGCCAGCTATTTATCTAATCTCCCATAATGTATCTTTAATGAATTTAAATGCATTTAATTATGATAGATAATTCAGTCATTGTACAAGTTAATTAAAGAAGAAGTCAACAGTTTTAACAGTGTCTCTAAAACAAAGTTAATGTTAGTTCACAAAACAAACACTAAAATGTAAATAAATAGATTTGACCTTGTTTGAGAGAGAGAAATGGGGTTTAACATCTACTCGACGCAAACCAGGTTATTTCGAGACTCCCATATGGTTCAATTACATTTCAATAATTCGCTTGTGCGTAGGTGTTTTAAGCAGTGGGAGGAAACCGAAACTCATGAGGTTGGACAGGGGACCCTACCCCTTGTCACGTACAACCGGGGAATCAAAACCACGCCAGTTGACTCAATAACAGACCTGATGATGCAGCATGCACACCCTAACCATTTGGCCATCCACCCCCTTGACCCTTGTTTGAAACTTACAGGTAATAATATTAACCTGTTTTGAAATGAACACCGAAACAGTTTAATAGGGTTACGTAACACTTTCAGAGCCCTTGCCTTGAATTTGACATTGAGAGAACTGATGAAAGGGACTGTATCATCAAGGATTCTGTTCCATTTGTATATACCAGACATGTCCAACATGGATTGGCAAAAGTCTGACTGCAAATATGCCGAATCAGACATCAAGATACAGTGAATCAAACTCAAAATATTGACTGTACTTAATGTATAACTATTAATAATTTAGACTGACTACTCTTCCTTGATTGATTATTCTACGTGATTTCCCTTTCATCTTAATCCAGAAAACAATTGGTGTTTTGTCCTTTGGCGGAAATTTTAATCCCTTTGATGTTGGTCGACGTGTTGTAAAAACTAGTCAAACTTGTGTAATCTATTGTTAAAGAGTTCATTAGCTGACAAGTTGATTCACTTCTTAATCAAACAATTATTTGGGATATGAGTAGGCTACTTATTTTGGC